GCCCTTGTAACAATCTTGTAAGCATTTGGTAGGAAAGCCCTTTCTGCCTAAGCTGGGTGGAGGGGTTTCCAACTGATTGATAAGGCTATTATTTACCTAGTCAACAAATAACTCATTTCTCTGGCGAGCACTGGGGAGCGATGGCAGGTTCTGAGCAGGAGAGGTCAGCAGAGAGAGAGGTGGGAGGGGCCGAGACTGGGTCAGGAGACCAGTGAGGAGACTAGGGCAGGAGGGAATGTGGTGGCTCAGACGGTGAAGTGTCTGCCTACAATGCGGGAGACCCGGGTTCAATCCCTGGTTCGGGAAGATCTCCTGGAGAAGGAAATGGCAACCCCCTCCAGTATTCTTGCCTGGAGAATGCCATGGACGGAGGAGCCTGGTGGGCCACAGTCCAAGTGGTCACAAAGAGTTGGACACGACTGAGCGACTTCACTTTCTTGAGGTATGGGACGGGGGAGAGCGACTTCACTTTCTTGAGGTATGGGACGGGGGAGGGACAAGCCTTGGAGACTGGGGGGCTCAAGGGGTGGAAGGAAGCTATACGATAAGGCTCACAGTGCTCCCCAAGGCCAACTGTTTCTGCAAGACTCAAGATAAAGAAGGCAGAGCTTATGACCCTGCTGGAGGGTTTGATTGGCTCCTCCTAGGTCACATGACGAACCATTGCTGCAAAGGATTCTGGGAAACTGAGTTTCTGACATTTGGGCTTCTCCAAAGGAGGTGGTCAAAGGGTGGGGAACTCCCTCAATGTAGAAAGGGCTTCGGATGCTGTGTGGCCAAGAGGAATGTCAGATGTCCACACAGGGGTTATTAGGGGTCCCGGGGGCTGGGCTGTGTGTGATGTGGCTGGATCCTGTCTCTCATTTGCTCACAACCCTCAGGGACTCCCATCAGAGCCCTAGGACCCTACAGATCTGCTCCTGGCCCCCCTCCAACCTCATCTTCTTCCTCCCACTCTCTCCTCCATCTGCTCCAGCCTTCTCCCTGTCTCTCTGACATGCCAAGCCACTCCCACCTCAGGGCCTTTGCACCTGCTGTCCCCCTTCCAGATATCCACATGGCTGGCCCCCTCTGGTCTCTGCTTGGATGTCACCTCCCCAGCGAGGTCTGACCTGATCTCCTCCGCTGTGTCCCGTCACTTGCATCTTTTACCCTCTGTCTCTTTCCTTCAAAGCCCCATTGTCCCCAACATTAAAATGTATAACAACTTGTTCACCCTCACTAAAATGTTACCTCCATGAGGACAGGGGTTTGGGTTATCTTCTGCTGGGTACCAGTAAGTGCTTAATAAATAATTGTTGACATGATACACACATAACGATTCTAGACCAGTTCCTTTTAGTTCTCTGGGCCTCAGTTTCCGTAACTATGAAGGAGTGCTTTGACCCACTGACCTTGCTGGGACAGGACAGTGAGGGGAGTGATCAGGAACTAGGCCCCAAGGAGAAAAGTTTTCTAAATAGTCCCCCTCCCACCAGGAACATCAGGAGAGGCAGAAAGGGGCCCCTTCTCCGTAGATCAGTGCTCCCTGCCTAGAAAGAAGTGGGGGAGACCCAGGAGGAGGGAGGAACACCAGAGGAAAGGAACATTCTCTTCTTTGTTTCCATACTGGGTTCTCCCTGGTTTCCTGCTCCCTGGACTTGCCCGATCCTTGCATCCTGCAGTCTTGGTGCCTTCCAGGCCGAGGACACCATTCCCGCTGTGCCGTCCCATTTCTGCAGGATCTCCTTCTCAGCCCTTGCGGTCCCCGATCAAGCCTGGATCTGAGCGCGTCCCTGACCTGAGCTACCACCCAGCCCCCTTCCACCGTGGCTAGGGGTGGCCTCCCGAGCTCGCGGCTGCCCTTGTAAGGAGGCGAGGCCAAGGGACACCCGAGACGCTGGGTTATAATTAACCCAGACACGTGGTGACCTCACCCCACCAACACCTGCCCCCGCGTCCCCCCAGACCCAGCACCTCGGGTCTCCCAGAGGAGATCGCAGCAGTGAGCTCTAAAAATAAACTCCCTTCCCAGCAGGCCGTCCCTCCCTGTACCCTCCACGGCCGAAATCTCCCCGGGTCACTGGGCTGGTGGATTGGAGTGGGAAGGGTGACCACCACCTTCAACCTGGCCTTGAGTGAGATCCGCCCTAGCTTGGCCCAGCCTCAGTTTTCCCCCCCTGCACTTCCGAGGAGGAAGGTGCATCCTAGCACAGGCTTCTGGGGTCAGGCTGCCCCCTGTTCCCACCTCGGCCTTGGTCACACATTCCCTATAGCTGGGTGACAGCAGGCAAGTCACACAGCCTCTCTGGGGCCTTTCCTCCGCCGGAAAACCAAAGACCTGACCTTCAGGGCCATTGCAAGGTTTCCCCAGGGACAGGGCTCAGGACCTGCTGTGTGCTGGGGTCAAGGCCACTGGGGGCTCAGGGGAGGCAGTGGCCTAGCAGAGGGCCAGGGGAGGGTGACTTCTATGTGCCTGGGACGTTTTCTGACACTATCCCATGGCCCCGGCGGGGCTCCAGCTGTCCCTGCCAGCCCGACTCAGCACTTGGTGCGGGGACCAGCTTGGTGCCGGGGGGGATATGGGCCCAGACCCTGGCGCAGCCCATACAAGGCTATGGGGCTGGGCGCGAGGCATGCCTGGGTTCGGGGTGGGCATGATGCCCGGGCAGTGAGGTGGAGAGCTCAGCTGCCCTCCAGCCCACTCCCAGGGGGCAGACCCTCCCAGCCAATCACACAGCCCAGGCCCCCCCTATATAAGGCCAGGGCTGCAAGCCCTTCCTTTGGGTCAGTGTCGCCTCCGGGATACAGACAGCCCCTTCCAGCTAACGCCCAGCCAGGTACTGCCCGGGGAAGGGTCCAGAGTGGAATGTCTTCCATGGGAGCCAGAGTTTGAGCTGTCTCTGGAAGGGGCCTTGCATGTTGCCTCCCACATGCCCCCGCGTGCAGGTGGATCGGTGTGTGGCAAGGTGGTCCTTGTGTCAGAGAGTCCCCGCCACCTGGGAGCCCCTGACTCCCGGCCGTGACTTGTGATTGCGGGGGCAAGTGTCCTGGGGGGAGACCCCAGGATGGAAAGGAGCCTTGACAGCGGCCAGCTGTCCCTGCCCTGCAAGGGGCTGCGGGCCAGGCCTTGTTCATGATGGTCTGTTGCCAGAACCGGGCGCCGTAAGCCGTGGGAGGTGTGTGTATCACCGTCAGGCTCTTTGCCTTGGTGACCTTGTGGCCCGTTGTGTTCTGCACAGTGTGACCTTGTGCCTGTCTGACTTTCCGTGGCTCCTGCATGAGCCCCTGTATGCCGGGTGTCCCTGAGCTGGGAGGTGTGCACACGTGGGCCCATTTACTGTGCGACCTGGGGGTGTGTGGGGGTGTGTGCATGAGGGGCTCTGGGTTACGTCTGCTGGTGTCTCTTGGGCTCCCCCACCTTGCTTCTCTGCCCTCTCCCGGCGTGCCCCCAGAAAAGATGGGGGTGGGGACATGCTCTGAAGGGGCCTTTCTGGGCTGAAAGCCCTTGAGCCCCAAAGCCTGAATGCATGTCCTCCCGGCCACCCTGGCCCACCTGTCTCTGGCCTGCTGACTTGGTGCAAGCCGAGCCCCTGGAATGTGGGGGTGGGGTAGCAGCTGGGGGTGGGGGAGAGGAGTCTGCCAGATTCTAAAAATAAATCCCCACCCTGGACATCAACTCCAAAGGCTTTCGTGGGTTCCAGCCCCCTTGGCCTGATGCCTCGGCCTTCAGCTCACCCTCATGCCCATCTCCTTCTCACCATCCCGCCCGCTCCCCATGCCTGGAGCTGGGAATGAGCATCTCGTCCCTACCAGCGCCGCTAAAGGGGCCTCCCTCCTCCTGGGTCTTGTGAACAAAAGTAATAATGACAGTGCAGCAGCCACCTGCGGGCTGGTTGCTTCAGGCTCTGCGGCGCTGTAGGGTGTCAGCCCACCAGGCTCTTCTGTCCAAGGGATTCTCCAGGCAAGGGTACTGGAAGGCGTTGCCATTTCCTCCTCCAGGAGATCTTCCCGATCCAAGGAGTGAACTCTCATCTCTTACATCTCCTGCATTGGCAGGCAGGTTCTTTACCAGGTCCCAGCTCCATGCTGGGGCCTGTGCTCAACTGGCTTCATGCTGGATCTCAAAGAATCCTCCTGGCAACCCCATGGGAAAGGTTCGGTTCACAGAAGACAGAGGCTCAGGAAGACTAAGCAGCTGACCTAGGGTCACACAGCCCAGAGACTGCACAGATGGGATTTGAACCCAGGTCTGTCGACCTCAGAGGCTGAGCTGTTCTTAACTGTGCCCGGCAGGACAGTGTCAGCACGCAGAGGTGGGGGCAGGCCCCCAGCCATCCCTCTCACTCTGCCTCTCCTCCCTCGACTGAGCACCCAAGAATCTTCATAGGGAGAATGTGCCTTCTCTGCTCACACACTCATTCCCAGCAACATCCTCCACCCTCACCAGCTCCTCGTAATTCAAAACAACAATAACAACAATAGCTAGCAAAATAATGATTAGTGTGTGTCAGGCACTATTTTAAGTGCTTTACATAATGAACTCATCAGATCCTTCCAACATCTCCATGAGATGAATGCTATTCTATCCGCATTTTACAGGTGATTACTTTGAGGCATAGAGAGGTTAAGCAAGTTGCCCAAGTTCACACAGCAGAGCTGGGATTCAAAGCCAGGCTGCCTGATTCTGGAACCTACACTCTTGTCTATCGGTTATCATATCTTATCACAGTTACGACTCCGGCTTGAGGGGCTCCCCCCTCCATTTTTCCAGCTGGAGAAACTGAGTCTCTAGCAATGTTACTAGCCTGGGGTCACCAGCAGGATAAGGCAGAGCTCAGACTCCAACCTCAGACTCGTGATACATCCCAGAGATGCTCGGGCTCAGAGAGAGGATCCCTCTGGCTCCCTCAGGCCTGCCTGACCCCAGGGCCTGGCTCTGCTCTCTTGCTGGTCTCCGTGGGTGTGACCTAATGCCCCCCTCCGCCCCTCCCCATCAGGCCCCCCACACCGCTGCCACCATGCCGTTCGGTAACACCCACAACAAGCACAAGCTGAACTTCAAGCCGGAGGAGGAGTACCCGGACCTCAGCAAGCACAACAATCACATGGCCAAGGCGCTGACCCTCGAGCTGTACAAGAAGCTGCGGGACAAGGAGACGCCGTCCGGTTTCACTCTGGATGACGTCATCCAGACAGGTGTGGACAACCCAGGTAGGCCTCCGGGGGGCGTCACAGGGGCTGTGAGGCGGGCCTCAGTTTTCCCATCTGTAAAGTGGGGACCATACTCATGGGCCTGCCGTGAGAAAGAGATGAGTTGAATGTGTGAGGGCCTGGGACAGGGTCTGGCAGGTGGCAAACCACTTGCTCAACGTGTGCGAGCATCATGTGAGACACCCCCTGAGGGAGGCTATTGCATCTTCCAGGCCTCAGTCTCCTCACCTGAAAAATGGGCACCCAGGTTGGGCAAACATAGGCATGTGGAGCGGCTCCTGGCAGAGTGAGCGCTCTGACTCTGACGGGGGGTTCCTTCTCCAGGAACACCCCACCAGGGCGGGTGGGGCTCAGCAGGAGACCAGCTTCCAGCCTCAGCCCCCAACTCATGACTGAGGGGAGAGGCCCTTTCTCTTCAGGCCTCTGTTTCCCCACTTGAGAAATAAGAGGGGTTTTTTCTTTTTTTTTTTTTTTTGGCCACAAGGCCTGCAGGATCTTAGTTCTCCAACCAGGGGTTGAACCCTGGCCCCCTGCATTGGGAGTGTTGAGTCTTAACCATTTGACCACCAGGGAAGCCCAAGAGGGTCTTTCAAGCCTCTTCTTATTGGTGGGGGCTGATAGTCTCCAAGGTTCTGAACATTTTTAGGGGAAGATCCCTTGATTTGGGGAGTCTCACGTGGTAACATTTTTAGTAGCTCGCCCCTCAGACTTTCCTCTCTCCTTTGTCCTGCGCTCAGCCTTCCTCTCACCGCCCACCCCCAGATACCGCCGCGATCTCCCCGAGTCTTCTCTCCCCATCCCTACCCACCCTCAGCCTCCTCAGTTCTGACCCAAGGTGCTCAATGAACTCCCTTGCATATACGCACACATACACACACGTGTGCACACACGGTCTACACTGGACCCAGGAACCCAGGCCTTCCTCGTGGCCGACAAGCACCTCTGATCTCCCTTTGACCCCCCAGGTCACCCCTTCATCATGACCGTGGGCTGTGTGGCTGGTGATGAGGAGTCCTACATGGTTTTCAAGGAACTCTTTGACCCCATCATCCAGGACCGGCACGGGGGCTACAAACCCACGGACAAGCACAAGACTGACCTCAACCATGAGAACCTCAAGGTCGGCCGCCCCGGGGGAGGGCGGGGCGGGGGAGCGGGGAGGAGACACCCAGAGAGACATGGAGACAGACGGAGAGAAACAGAGGGGGATGGGAAGAGAGATGGACAGGCAGACACAGAAGACAGCCAAGGAGATAGGGGTGGGGGGAGAGAGAGAGAGAGAGAGCGAGGAAAGCAGGTAGAAAACATACAGGGAGTGAAGGGAGAAGCAGAGACACAGAGATGGAAAGGGAGATAAATATGGGGAGAGAGAGAGAAAGAGAGACAGAGAGCCAGGGAAGGAGGGGGAGAGAGGCCAGCGGGGAGGGAAGAACCAAGGGAAGCAGCTGAGAGCCCACGAGGGCTGGGAGGGCCTGCGGGGGAGATCTGATTTTGGTGGGGAGGGGGCAGGGCACACAGGATGGTCTGCCCTGCCCTGACTCCCATCCGTTCCCCAGGGTGGAGACGATCTGGACCCCAACTATGTGCTCAGCAGCCGTGTCCGCACGGGCCGCAGCATCAAGGGCTACGCACTGCCCCCCCACTGCTCCCGCGGCGAGCGCCGGGCCGTGGAGAAACTCTCTGTGGAAGGTGAGAGCCGCCACCCCAGCTCTGGATCCCCTTGAGCCCCCATTTGCCAAAACACTGCAAGAACTTGATAATCACAGGTGCTTGGTGAGTGACAGCTGGCAGTATTACCCCTGGGGGAGGTCTAAGGGATGCTGTCAAGATTTGACACCCAACTGTGCCAGGGTCCTGACGTTCATCCATCTATTCATCCATCCATCCACCCAGCAAACATTTACGGTTGTTCTGGCCCTGTGTGGGGAGCTGGGTTTCCCATGATGAATAAGATGGACCAAGGTCACTGCTCTCACAGAGCTGTCAGCCTGGCGGGGAGATAAGAGGAAACACTGAAACCAACAAAAGAATAAGATCATGCCCAAATGCCATGAAGCCAAGAAACAAGGGTTGTGGCACAGAATGACTGTGGGCAGCTATGTTGGAAAGGAGTTGAGACATGATTGACAAGGAGCCAAACTTGGGAAGAAATCTAGGCAGGTGAACAGCAGTGCAAAGGTCCTGGGGTGGGAAGGTGTGTTGGAGGAATAGCAAGGAGACCAGTGTTGCTGGAGCTGAGTGGGTGATGGGGAGAGGGGAGGAAATGAGGTCAGAGGGGTGTTGGGGTGACCAGGTTGTACAGAGCTTTGTGGGCTGTTGGGAGGACTTTGGCTCTGACCCTGTGGGTAGAGGAGACTGGTGAGCAGAGAAGGGACAGGTTCAGACTTACATGGATCCCCCTGGCGGGGAACAGACGATGGGCAGAGGTAGGAGGGACATAGAAGGGCAACTGCTGGGGTCCAGGTGGGGCCAGGGAGTGAGGGGAGCAGTGGGATGAGGAGAAAGAGTGGGTCATTCCGTTCAATGTTTAACAACTGGCTCTAAAAAAAAAGCAGCAGCAGCCTTGATTTGCGGCCAGCAACTGCCAATTTCTCTGGTGTAAATTCACCTACAGAGGCCAATTTTAAGCTAACGACATGACATCATACAGAGATGGGTAATGGGAAGAGATGTGCAGTAGCATGTGCTTATGTAGAATTTCCACCACACAGATACAACAGGTGACTTCAAGGACATAGAAAATAGTAAGTGTAGTAAAGTAATTAGCAAGTGATAGTCCTGAATACTTACTATCTTCATTTTAAATACTGGGTTGGCCAAAAAGCTCATTCCGAAAGATGTTATAGGAAAACTCGAATTTTTTGGCCAACCCAATATAGTTTGTTTTTGTAATTTATTTTTAACAATATAATATAGTAGGTAGTATATGATATAGAACATATTATGTAGTATATTATACAAATATGTATAACATATTTTAAAATATGTATATTATAGAAATACATTATACACATATTTGTCACGTCTTATGATATGAATATATACAAATACATGTATGTATTATATATTTATTATATACATAATATACGTGTGTGTGTGTATGCTCAACTGCTCAGTCATGTCTGACTCTTTGCAAATCCATGGACTGCAGCCTGCCAGGCTCCTCTGTCCATGAGATTTTACCAGCAAGAATATTGGAGTGGGTTGCCATTTCCTCCTCCAACACATAATATGCACTATGTATTATGAATACCTATGAATATATGCAAATACTATATATACTATAATATTGTTTACTGATGGCTCCCAGATTCCTGAGACTTTGACTCTGCCCTACCAGCCAGCAGGAGTGGGCACCAGCACACTATTGCCCACAGATAGACTGACTGGATGTGAGAATTGGTGGCAGGCAAGGGAGAATCCATGTTTTTGGTCCTGAGCACATGGTGTGGGTGTTCGCAGGCCTGGGCAGACAGCGGAGGAGCATGTTTTTTCGGGGGGCGGTCATGAATTTGGGCTTAGGCACCTTTAGAACCTCCACAGGGTCAAGGCCCAGGCCCCTGGTGGACAGCAGTGTGGGGTGCCCAGGGCGTCTGCAGCCCACTTGTAGAGCAGGCTGTTGACCCCTCCTTCCTGTGGCCCCTCACCAGCCCTCAACAGCCTGACGGGCGAGTTCAAGGGGAAATACTACCCTCTGAAGAGCATGACAGAGCAGGAGCAGCAGCAGCTCATCGACGACCACTTCCTGTTCGACAAGCCCGTGTCCCCGCTGCTGCTGGCTTCAGGCATGGCCCGAGACTGGCCCGATGCCCGTGGCATCTGGTGAGGCCCCTTGCCCAATGCCCCCCTTCTGCCCCGCCTCTTCTAGTCGTCCCATGACCCTCCACCAGAGTCAAGACCATAACAGCAGTTCTCCAGGGTGATCTTGACCTCCAACCCTGCCTTCCCTGTGGTCTGCATGTCACATTTTAAGAAGCTTGAAACTCAGATTTGAACCAGACTCCCTAGGTTCAAATCCCAGGGCTGCCACTTACTAGCTGTGTGATCTTGGGCATGTAATTTAATGTTTCTCTGCCCCAAATCTCCATCTATAAAATGCGATCATGGTAATTCCTAGCTCTTGGAGTTCTTATGAGGATTAATGAATTAATTTATGCAAAGTATTGGGAAAAGTGTCTGGTATATAGTAAGTATCCATACTGGCCATTGGCATGATTTTTATTGCTAATTATTGTTGCTAGCTGGGCTTTCTAGTAATTTTATAATCCCCGATTCTGATGAAAGTGAAAGTTGCTCAGTCGTGTCCGACTCTTTGTGACCCTATGGACTGGAGTTCTCCAGGCCAGAATACTGGAGTGGGTAGCTTTTCCCTTCTCCAGGGGATCTTCCTAACCCAGGGATAGAACCCAGGTCTCCCACATTGTAGGCGGATCCTTTACCAGCTGAGCCACAAGGGAAGCCCAAGAATACTGGAGTGGGTAGCCTATCCCTTCTCCAGCAGATCCCCCCGACCCAGGAATCGAACCGGGGTCTCCTGCATTGCAGGCGGATTCTTTACCAACTGACCTATCATGGAAACCGCCCCGCACCCTCCCCGCCCCGCCTCCCACCAGATTCTGGAGCTCGGTTTCAAACAATTTGGAGAGTATAGGTTGTAAGATTTCAAGATTTTAAGTGTTTCCAGGTTCCACTAATGTCAGATTTTTTTTTTTAATGTCAGATTTTGTGAGTCAATGGTTTCAAACATTTCCAGTACTAAAGTTTTCTAGCCTAAGACTCCTTCTGCGATGTCACAATGTCATGGAAGATTGATCAATTCTGATTCTCGGTTTCCGTCTTTCATTGATTCTAATATTCTATAATATTGTGCAAAGAACTAAGACCCTAAAAGCCACTGATCCCACGATTCGAGATTTCACGGGTCCTGTGACATTTAAAGGTGTAAGCTGTTGAGACCGAAGCTCAGCCCTCGTGCCCTTTAGGCCCGCTGCCCCCTAGCGGTGGACGTGTGTTTGCAAGAGGGAGGGGAACGGGGTTCCCGCGGAGCTGGTTCCCTGACCTTTCGCTGCGCCCGATGCTAGGCACAATGACAACAAGAGCTTCCTCGTGTGGGTGAACGAGGAGGACCACCTCCGAGTCATCTCCATGGAGAAGGGGGGCAACATGAAGGAGGTTTTCCGCCGCTTCTGCGTGGGGCTGCAGAAGGTGGGTGCCTGCCCTCGCGTGACTCCACGTGACCGCCCCCAGCCGCTTTCCGGGCCCTCGCCCCTCGGAACCCGTCTCCTCCCCGCGCCGAAGCCACGCCCCTCAGCGGTGCTCCGCCCTCGCTTTCCAAAGCCCCGCCCTTTGGGAAACCGGCCCCACCTCTGTCCTCAAGCCCCGCGGACAAGAACCCGCCTTCAAGGCGTCCTCAAGTCCCCCGTCCCCTCAGAATCCAGCCATCACTTGTGCGGTCGTGCCTCCGCCCTCTCGGAGTCCTACCACCACCGACATTCTCACCCCCGTCCCTCGGATCCCTGTCCGGGTGGTGGGTGTATTTGGGGGTGCCCGCAGCGCTGATCCCGGGTCCTCTCCCCTACCTCAGATTGAGGAGATATTCAAGAAAGCCGGCCACCCGTTCATGTGGAACGAGCACCTGGGCTACGTGCTCACCTGCCCATCTAACCTGGGCACCGGGCTGCGTGGAGGCGTGCATGTCAAGTTGGCGCACCTGAGCAAGCATCCCAAGTTCGAGGAGATCCTCACTCGCCTGCGCCTGCAGAAGCGAGGCACAGGTGCGGCCCATGTTCCCTAACGCGGCTTCCAGGGCTGGCCCTTAGTGGCGGCTGAAGGGGAGCAGGGGCATCCCCACGGGTTCTGGGGGTCGGCAAGGGCTGCTCCTCTGTGAGTTTCAGTTCTTCCTCTGAAAATAGGCATCAGCACGCCTTATCTCAGAGGAGTCCATATACCGTCATGGTTATATGATTAATATACACTGTGTATGTCCCTGGCCGCCTAGGGGCCTCACTTTCCCGTCTGTAAACGGGAAGATGGTCAGGATTCGACCCCAGGCAGCCCGGCTCCTGAGCTCAACTCCGTTACCCACAATGTTGGATGACTGAGGTACCTAAAGCCAGCCCAAGAATAGACAGACGCTCAGGAACCTGCATGCATTTAACACAGTAGGCATTCACCCAGTACGTCCGCCTGCGCTGTTGGCACGGCGGCCCGCGTTCCAGGCCCCGCTCCAGCATTTCTGCTGGCTCCTTAGCCCCTGCCTCCTACTTCCGCAGGTGGTGTGGACACGGCTGCCGTGGGCTCAGTGTTCGACGTGTCCAACGCCGACCGGCTGGGCTCGTCGGAGGTAGAACAGGTGCAGCTGGTGGTGGATGGTGTGAAGCTCATGGTGGAGATGGAGAAGAAGCTGGAGAAGGGCCAGTCCATCGACGACATGATCCCCGCTCAGAAGTAGGCGCACAGCCAGCCCGCCGCCGACTGCTGGAGCCCCAGCCCACCGGAGGCCCGCCCCTTCCTCCTGGAGCCCAGCCTATAAACGTTTGGTCCACCTGGGGCTCTATGCATCCTTCTAGTTCCAGTTTCAACCAGAGTTCCAACCAATGGGCTCCATCCTCTGGGTTCTGGCCAATGAAAAACCTCCCTTACGGTCTCCTCTTCTTTCCCTCAAGCTCCGCCCACCACCAGGAGCTCTGGCTAATAGACCTCACCTGGAGCTGTTGCTTTTTCTCCACTCAAAGCAACAAATAAAAGCAATGGTGGCCTTAGAGTTGTGTTTGATAGTTATTAGTACTGAAGGAGGAGGAGGAGGAAAAATTTCGGCAATTGGCTACTATGTGACCTCAAAGTGGCTTGTCGTCTCTAGGCATGTCCTAGGGCTACACGTTTTATCCCACCTCTAAAGTGAAAGCGTTAGTCGCTCAGTCGTGTCTGACTCTTTGCGACCCCATGAACTGTAGCCCGCCAGGCTCCTCTGTCCGTGGAATTCTCCAGGCAAGAATACTGGAGTGGGTAGCCATTCCCTTCTCATCTTTTCCCATCTCTAAAATGAGGCAAGTTCAGGGTACAGCATCTAATTAAAACATTACAAGGCTCTACGGGGAATCTGAGATCCAGAGAGGTGTGGTCCAGTGTCACAAACTGAGCTTGGGCCCTTCCCAACCTCTGCTCCCAATCACTCATGCTCAGATCTCAAACACAGGATCCATTCTAGGGAGAAACGGAGGTCAAACAAAATATCTGAATTTGCCCTCCTCTTTTCAACTTCCCTTGCTTTGCTCAAGAACCTGCCATGGTTTCCAACGTCTAGAATGCTCTATTATGTGTGCTTCTTCAAGGTCAAACAAATACGTACCATATGCCGAAGGCTCTTCTTTCCAGTTCTTTTCTTATGATTCCTCTATACATTTTTCCGTTCCTTACACTGTGCAATCCCCACCCTAATGTCCGCCCAAGCTGTTTCTTCCTCCAGGCTGGAGCTTGGGTCACAACATCCCTGTGAAGTCTTTGAGGACAGGCCTTTTGGAGAGCTTGGTTTCAGGAAACAGCAGAAAGTCGCCTTGGGGTCGGGAATGGGAGAAGTGGGTAACGGAAGGCAAGAAACATCTGAACACGTATTGGGTGTCAGCCACGTCAACCACTTCTACTTGACCCAATAGGATGAGGCCTCCATTATCAAGGGGGTAGTGGGTGGGCCCCCAAAGAGACAAAGGTTTTAGAAGAAAATGTGAGGCAAAGTTAGGAAGACAGAGCCTGCCAGGGACCTGGAGGAGGCACATTTTCCATCCTTAAGTCACACAGGTAAAGGGCCCTTAGAGGAAATCTCTCCATTTTCCAGAGGGGAGACTGAGGCCTAGGGATGTCCCCAAGAGTTTCCAGAGAGATTATGGAAACAGAAGAGACCCCAAAGGTCAGGGCACTCAGGGTCTGGTAGACGTTGGGGTGTGCTTTACAATACTGCCCCCAACTGAAGATCCCATCACTAATCTGAGCTCCACTCGCAGCGCCACATACAGCACAGACCATGGTCCAAGCATCAAGTCTGCCATCCAGGTACCTGTCAGCTACCATGTCTGTCCCTCCCATTTTGCCTCCTAAGCCTGAAGTCCACTCCTTCCCTCCCCACTTTCTGTCCCCCTGCCCTTCTGACCCGATTCCCTCCCTCCCTTCACAGCACAAACCTGCCTGCCCCTGACAACTCTTACTCAGTGACCTTGCTGTGGCTCCGCAGTACCCTCAGTACAAAGCCCAGGTAACTCTCCACGACCTTCAAGGCCGACCAGCCCTCCAGCTTCATCTCTCACAGTGACGCCACACTCAGTCAAGTCACATGCCGTTTGTTGAAGGACTTGTACTTGCTTCTCTCTGCTTAGAACTCATGCCTGCCCCCAACCCAGGCCCCCCGATTCTGTCTGGTTAGCTGCTCACCATTCTCCTCGTCCCAGGGGAGCTGAGCCTCCTCCTCCAGGAAGTCCTCCCTGGCGAGGGCACTTTCCCCTTCTGTACTGCCCCAACCAGCCACACCGACTCGAGTCATCACTGAGGACACAGCTGCCTCCTCCCCTGGACAGTGAGCCCTATGTGAGGGCAGGGCTGGGGTTTTCCTGGCCCCCACTGTCCCCCAGCCCAGGGCTGGGAACCGAGGAAGAACTCAGGAATTGAGGTTTTTGTGACAGGGTTGGTTCCCCTGCCACACACCTCATTTTTCTACCCTCTCAACTACAAGCACCTGTCTTTCAGCAGAGTCCTGCTATGGCCTAACACATGATAGGCTTTTGATTCTGCCTTGGACCCTGAATTTTTCAACACTGACCACTTTTTTTCTCTTGAGCCAGCCACTCTTAATTTTTAGCCCCCTTCAGTTCTCATTTGACTTTCCTGTCCCATGAAGAATACAACAGTTGACCCTACCATGACTTAAAACAGGCAACTGAGGCAGTTGAACTAAGCTTCTATCCTGCAAGCAACACTCCGTGGCTCCCCAGTGCCATCGGATGAAAGCCCAGACTGCGTGCTTTGACCCACAAGGCTCTGGTGAAATGCCCTGCGTTCCTGCACTGGACACCTCTTTTCTGCTTGAGTCTGTCATGCTTCTACTTCCCTTATCGTGACACCGTGACTTTCCTTTGAGGAACCCCTCTCTGTCCAGCCCTAGGTACAGGCCATTCCAGAGTCACAGTGACTGGTTCGGGGTGATCACATGACTTACCCGGGCCAATGAGAGCCTGTCTTGGGACTTTTGCTTGAAGTTGGCAACGAGGAACTCTGTTATAGCCACTAAGCTAGAAGGATAAAAGCTTGAACTGCTGGTGTCACCGTTAACACCAGGCACCTACTGGATGAAACTACTAGAATGAAACTTACACTGAAAAAAGCAGAGATGAGCCAGCCTGTGGCCTGAATCCAGCTGTATCTGAAATCATGCAACCCTAGCCTATGAAACGAGCAAACAAATAGCTTTTTTGCTTGGGTGTAGATGGATTATTAGTCCTAATACAGCATTTTTCTTGCTAATTTTCCACCCACCCTCAACACAGCAGCCATGCTGAAACTACCCACAGTTCTCTGAGCCATACCATGCATTCCCTCTTCCAGGCTTGTGCCCAGGGGATGCCCAATACCTGGTCAACTCCCACTCATCCTTCAGAGCTCAAATGCAGCATCAGTTTCTCTGGAGTGCTTTCCCCAAACCCTCTCACTTTCTCTTCTGGCCCACCCCGCCTCCAAAAAGCAATTGTTTCTCTAGTGTCTTATCAGAACACACGTCCCCCATAGAAAGGGGCTCCCTGCATCTCCGTGTCCAGCACTGGGCCTGGCATGGAGTAGGCACCGGTCAATGACTGTTTATTGAATAAATGTACTACTGGAGTAAGAAGTGGCTTAGAGTCCAGTATAACATGTGGGTGAGTATGTGAGTGGATGAACGGGGGTCCAATATAGGAACTGGGGCCTCGTGGATGAGGCCAAGTCCCTTCCTGCCCTCTTCCACAATCACCCTTGATCCCACACCCCCACTGCTCCCATTCTGCAGATGAGAAAACCGAGGCTCAGAAAAGAGAAACCACTGGCCCAAAGTCACACACCTCCTCTTCATCTCACTTGCAGGTGAGGGCAGGGAAGGAAAACCCCAGGGTCAGCGTGGGGGAGGGGGGACTCTCCTAAGTTTATTGGGCATCGGGCTGCAGGTGAGGGGGCTGACAGGAGGGGGGTGGGGGGTGTAATAACTTAAAAACCAGAGGTGAGAGCGACAGCTCCTCCAGAGATCTCTGCAGAAGGGAGGGTGTGGGGGTATTTACAAGGATTTGTACAAAGTGCCCCGCGCCAGCCTGGGGCAGGAACGTGGGATTCGAGCAGGAGGGGAGGGGCAGGGAAGGAATCTGCCTTTCTGACCCCCACTCCCGGCCCCCCCCCACCCCCAATTCTTCAGTCTTTAGGCTCAGCAAGTCTTCTTGTCCCTGCCCAAGGCCTAATTCTTGAGCTGTCGGGGAATGGAAGTTTCCTCAGTTTTCTTTTCTGCCCCACCCTGCCCCCAAAGTCTCCTCAGGTGCCCCATGGCAGGGTGAGGGGGGACCGGGTGGGCTAGGGGCTCCAGGAAGGTGCCAGCTCCCCCCTGCGAAGCCCCTTTGCTCTTCTCTCTTGCTCAGCGGGCCCCGGGGAACACAGAGGGGTCAACCTCTGCCCCCAAATCCATTTCAGGGAAACTGAGGTGATGACAAAGGGAGAATCCCCTCCTTGACCCCCCTTCTCTGTCGAAGTGAAGGGGGCGAGGAAGAGGAGGGGACTTGGGGCTGTGGCGGCTTAGAGCTCGAGGTCGTTGGAGATGCGGGTGACGAGGGTGCGGAAGGCCAGGGCAGTGCCCGCCACGCGGCGGAAGAGAACTCCCCGCAGGCCCGGCCGGGGCAGCTGGCAGACCTCCACTTCAAAGTGGGACAGGGGCTCGGGCCCGCCCGCACCCCCGTGCAGGCAGGCCAGCAGGAACGGCTGTGGCTGGCGGCAGCGGCAGCGGGCGGCCGCGGTGGCCTGGCGCAGGGCTGCCATCAGGGCCTCGGGCGGGCGCGAGCTGGTCAGTTTCACACTCCAGGGGAATCGGAGCAACCGGGGGGCGGTTTCCGTTTGATCCCAAGGTAGATGGCAACTGAGATGGGAAGATATGATGGGTTAGAGATGGGAGAGAAAAGGAAGGTAACCCCCAGTTCCCACTTGGGGACAGGCTCTCCTAGACGTCTTCTCAAAACCTTTTTTACTCCAGGGACAGTCTTTCCACGGTACAAATAGCTCTCCACTTGGAGATTGTATTTCCCAGCCTCCCCTGCAGCCAGCTGTGGCCTTGTCTCCAAATGCCTGGATGTGCGAGGACGTGGCCATGTAACTCCGTGCCACCTCTTTCAAAGGAAACCGTAAGCCCTGGACTCTCTTGCCCCACCTCCTGTGAGGCTGCAACACGAGCTGGCATGGACTGTGAAGACGACAGGGCTCTAGGGAAGAGGATGTAAGAGCCTGGGTACCAGGAGGATCTCACATAACAGAGTGGCCCTGCCAGCCTGGCCTGGACACATGGCTTGTGTGAGAGAGAAACTTATTCCTGTTTGTATTTTGGGGTATCTTCCCTATAGCAGCTCAACTTGTTTCCTAATACATCCTCCTTCTGGTAATAATCATTTTTTCGGTTGGAGAACCAATTCTCCTCACTCTAGACTAGGGATTTCTCACACCTAGGAGCAGTACTGTCTTCCAAAGGATATTAGTAAATTTCTGAGGACTTTTTGATTGTCAAAATGTCTTGGGAAGGGAGTGCTGCCTGCATTTATCAGGGTGGGGGGATGATTCAGGAATGATACACATTCTGCAGTGTGTGAGAGGGCCCTGCCTGACAAAGAAATGTCTCTCCTAAAATACCAAGAGTGTTCTCCTTGAAAAGCATTGCAGATCTAGTCTTTCTGGTTTAGGTTGGGCAGACTCAGCTCTCAGCTCCAAGGGTGAACACGTGACTCACTTCCAGGCAAAGAGAGCATTCCACACCTCTTCCCCCACTCTGATTGGTTCGAAGATGAGCATGTGACCAAGTCTGACCAATCAGAGTACTCCACCCTTCTGGTCACAGGCATTGGTTTAGGGATGGACATGTGACCCAATTCTAGCCAGTAAGATTCGGCCCTGGGACTGTTGGCCCTGCTGGGGAGGCTCCCTATTTCCACTGAGGTTTCTATACTGGCTCAGGGTTGTTGGCAACTGTTGTGCCTCACTGGATGAGAGGGGAAAGGTGGTGTGGTGTCAACAGGGGGAGGAGTGGGTTATAGATGGGAGAAGCTGAAATTAAAGATGGTCAAGGGATGATGCTCAGGGATGGAGGTGGACATGAGAGGAAATCAATGTGGGGGTGCATAAAAGGAGGTGGCAGACAAGAGGGGGTCACAGGAGCATTCCAGGAAACTGGCCTTGGAGGATGAGGCTCGGGCCCCAACCAAGGGCCTGGTGGGGGCGGTGAGAAGTACTTACACAAGAGGGGTATGAGGCAAAAGGGGAGGCACACTCACCTTGTGACCTCAGGTCCCCCGATTCTCTCAGGTTCGTCTGTGACCCTACAGGAAGGGTGGGGGGATGAGTGTCTAATATGGACATAAGCGGGCCCCCCTCCCTCAATCCACTGCCTCCAGGACGCAGGGCAGCCCTTGCCTCAGCCCTGGTTCCTCCCTGAGGGCTGGAGCTGGGCTGGGGGTCAGGATTTGATCTCCCTCTCCATACCCAGAAGGGGAGCCCATTCAGAAATGGTTAGTGCAGGTTGGAGGAAAGATACTGAAGAATTTGGAAGACAAAAGAGAGGCGGGGTGGGTAGAGACACACCTACATATAGGAGACAGACAGACACACAAACCCCTCCTTCAGCCTGTGCTCAAATGACACCTCCTTAGTGAGGCCTGCTCCATTTAAACTGTACCTTCCTTCCCCATACCCTGACACGCACGTCACCACCACCACCACCCCATCCCAGTTCCTTGCTCTATTTTTCTCCTTAGTACTTGCCACTACCTGATAGTCTATATATTTTATTTATTGTTTACTGTCTGGGTCTCCTAGTAGAATGCCCTGGGCAGGGATTTTATCCCTCTCGTTCACTTTACTCTGGGCTGACGATGGTGCCAAGCACACAGTAGACACTCAAAAGAATAAAAATGATAGAAAACACTTATAAAGTATTTTCTGGGGCAACATTCACAGCTCAGTCCATGTATCACCTCACTTAGTCTGCACAACAACCCTATGAGGAAGATACTGTTATTACTATCCCCATTTTAGGGAAAAGGAAAGTGAGGCCCAGAGAGGTTGAGTCATTTGCTTAAGGTCACTCAGCAGTGCTCAGGGTCTGAACCCCGAGTCTGGCTCCAGAGGCCAGACTGCTGTTTATTATCTGAGTGAATGAACGACCAGAGCCCACATACAGACCCCTACCCGACTCACAGTGCCCCCTCCCGCCGGGCCCGCGCACGGGTCAGACATGCAGACGGGGTGGCAGGACCCGTGAGAGCAGAGGTGGAGGGGACTTACTGATTTTGGATCCCTGGGGCAGAGAGGCGCCCGAAACGCAGCGGTTAGAGTTCTGCCGTTTAGAGGGATCGAGGGTAACCCTGTGGTGTGAGGAGGGAGGTGAAGGGTGACGGAGGAAGAGGAGGAGGAGGAGACGGAGGTGTCGGGGTACAGGAGGCAGAGTAGAGCAGAAGACAGGTTAGGTCCCATCAGCCCCCATCCTTCTCCCTGCCCCCCAAGTCCCATGGGGCTCACCTTCGGGTCAGTTTGGAGGTCAGCTTGGTGAAGAGGTTGGTGGTGGGGCGGGGCCGCCCAGTGGGCAGGGGCGTGGCTTCGTGGGCCAGTGTGGGGGAAGCAGGGGGCCCATTCTGCACGCCCCCACCTCCCCCGCCCCCTGCCCGCCTGTCTCGGACCTGGCCACCGTGGAAGGTGCTGCGGATGGTGGAGCCACGTGCCAGGCGGCTCCGCTCCCCTGATGGGGGAGCCAGGCTGTGACTGGAGGGGGAGGCGGGGGGCACCCGTGGGGTACCCGAGCTGTGGGCAGAGAGGTACAAGTTAGGGTGGAGCTCTGAGGCAGGCCAGAGTCCTCCGTCCCTCTGATTCTTCACTGGTCTGTCCTGAGATCAGAAACCTCTACCAGTCTGGAACTCAGAGACAAGGCTGCCATGTAGAGTTGTGCAGGCTGTGCACTATACAAACTTAGCATTATTTTACTGACCCTTCTCACCTCCTAAATCATTCTTCCTTCAAACCATCCTTTCTTCAAGCTTTGTCCCCTCCAAACCATCCCCTATCCCAACTCTCCTCTCTCCAAACTTCAGTTGAATACATTCAGATATACTTTTAAATGAATCCCCTGATACTTGCCATCCAAACCTCAGGAACCACATCAATTGTGCAAACACTTTGCTATCTGAACTTTCATTATTCAAACGTCGGAGAGGAATAGATGTGAACATCAAGGAAACTTACATTCATTATGAAAATTTTCAACAGGTAAAAATAAAGAGGAAGGAACCCTCCCTCTAATTCTCAAGATTCTGTGTAGAGAGGGGTGGCTCCATTATCCCAGGACCTTCCCCAGGCCCTCTGACCCTCCCAGCCCTCACAGCAGAAGTGAGACCTCCAATTAATATCCTTCTAGGGACCCCAGGACCAGCCGGATCTCAAAAAGGGAGCCCTGACTGGCAGATACCATTACCTCTCACCCAGAATCCATACACTTTGTTTTACTCTTAGTAACCAAACCCCTGAGAGTATAAACATTGTACATGGCCACCCAGCCAAAGACTACATGTCCCAGCTTCCTTTGCAGCTAGGGATGGTCATATGACCATGTTCTGGCCAATAGGATGTAAGCAGAAGTGCTCTGGCCCATTTCTGGGTCATGCCTTTGAACAGAAAAGCAGTTTGCACTCCACTGTCTTTCCACCCATTTTGCTGGTTGGGAAATGGTGACCACGGGTGCAGTGGCCTCAGATCCAGAGCTGCAGTCTCATGTTAAGATTGGTCCTGAATCCTTGGAGGACCCTGACTCCTACTTCTGGATAGTTGCATCACAGAGGACTAAACCTCTACCTCATCTACTGTGCCTTAGGGTCTCTTCACTCCTGAATCTATAACCTAACTCTATGCTATCTCTTGGCCAGGACTTGGAGGCCATTTATTATAGTGATTAAAAGTACAGACTCTGGAGTCAGTCTGGAATCTTTGCTCCTTGACTTACCAGCTGTGTGGCTTCAAACAAGTTACTTAACCTATCTCTGCCTCATTTCCTCAGCTGTAAAACGGAGATACAGGATTGATCTCACAGAACTGTTAGGGGCATTCAACCAGCTGATGTACACAGGCCCGGCCTACGATTACTGCTTGATAAATGTTGGCTATTATTATTTTTAATTAATAACCCCCAAATAAGTTCTGACTCATCGAATGCCTACTGTGTCTCAGACCCTGTGTGAGGTACAGGACACACCTGATCTCCACCGGATCCCTCTAAAGAGACTGGAGGCAGAGAACATTGGCTCCATCTCACACAGAAGGAAACGGAGGCTCAGACACCTGCCGATGGTCATCTTGCTCGTGGAGTGCAGAGGCGAGATTCGGAACTCAGAGCTGAATCACCGCTTCCAAACACTCCGTTACTCTGCCCCCACCAAAGAGTGACACCTGCACCCCTTTATTGGGTGTTTCCCAGAGTGCACCTGGGTGTCACACCCTCTAGCCCTGATGGGTGGGAGTGTCATGATCCTGAAGCCCGCCCCACTCTGGGACTTGAACTGTGATGTGAACCAATTCATTCTCTTTGTATGCTCCAGCCAGCCTGCACTGGTTTCCCTCACTTGCCAGCTGAAGGCGCCTGAACCAACTCAGGCAAGTAAGTTTGAAATCCTGCCAACTAGAGGATGTTGAAGCTGTGACATTCTAGGGCTTCTCTCCAACTCTAAAAATGGATCATTCAAAAAAAAAATGAATTCAGGTTCCCCAGGCTCATGGGCAGAGAGTGGGGCAGACTGCTTTGCTGCTGCTGCTGACTAATTAATTAAGGGGGGAGGATTTTTCAGTGGGGTCTGGGACAGGGAGGACATGGGTATATTCTGCCAAAGGAACGGCAGACATGCAGACTCCCCCGTCCCCACACCACCCCTCCCCATAATGTCTAACATCTTAGATCAGGGGGCCCTGTTCACCTATACCCCATCTCTCCTTCCCCGTTGCTGCCCTCCCTTCATACCTGTTTTCTTTGCCATTTGGCAACAAGGATGGGCGTTCAGCCCCCGGGCGTTCTGTGCAAACGTAGGTGTTTCTGCGGGTCATCATGCTGGGAGGGAGGTTGTTCTGTAGGAGACAAAGCCAGGAGGAGTGAGGGGGCACAGGGACACTCCTTAATCCCTTTTACCCTCTCTGGCCTCCCTCATTAGGAATGAGGCAGGGGCCTGTGTGTGAACTAAAAGTGAGTAGGTGATGGTTTACTTTGGCTAAAGACATGAAAGGTCAATGGGTCATGCCAGCAATGCAGGCTGAGAGTTGTGGGGGGCCTTGGAGCTGGGGGGAGAGAAGGTCACGGAAAGTTTCCAGGGGGCAGCCTTGCCCACCTCTCCTCTCCCAGGCCTCCCCCACCTCTAGCCATATCAAACTTTTAAAAACATACTTATTCGGGCCATGTTGAGAGGCACGTGGCATCTCAGTTCCCAGACCAGGGACTGAACCCAGGCCCCCTGCATGGGAAGGCGGAGTGATGACTGCTGGACTGCCAGCGGAGTCACATCTCTCCTCCTAAAGACCTTTGCACAGGCTGTCTCTTCTGCTTGGGTCTTCCTCCTACCTTTCCCTCTGACTCACTCCTAGGGATCTCTCGGGTGTCAGGTCATAACTTATCCCCGCTCTGGGCCCTGGCTGAGTCAGCTACTTCTTTGTGCTCCCATCTACAGCCTTGTATTGTATTGGCCACATTACTTTGTAGTGACCGCATCTGTTCATACATACATCTCCACCCTGCATTGCACTGAACTGAGGACAGGAATAGTGTATCAGGATTTTGTTGCCTCATAAAATGTGCTGGGAAGTAATCCTTTTTTCCCTCTGGAAGTCTGCCTAAGATAGGTATTATTTCTTCTTTCGATGTTTGGAAGACTTCCACCAGTTTAGAGCCATCTGGGTCTGGCATTTTCTTTATGGGGAAGTGTTGAGACTGTTCAGGTTTTCTATTTCTTCTCGGGTCAGTTTTGGTGTGTTTCTAAAAGACATTTGTCCATTTTGTCTAAACTGTCAAATTTATTGCCATAAAGTAGTTCCTAGTACCATCTTTCTTTTTATGTCACAATGACGCTCTCCTTTTCACTCTGTGCTTGCTATCTTCTTTCTTCCTTTTTTTAAAAAAACTGAAGTATCGTTGATTTACAATGTTGTGTGTTTTTTTTCTTAATTAGTCTTGCTAGGGGTCCACTGACTTTATTAATCTTTTCAAAGAATCAGCTTTTGGCTTTTTTATTTTCTCTAGTGTGCATCTGTTTTCTCCTGTATTGATTAATTCTCTATTATTTCCTTCCTTCCATTTTTTGGGGGAGGGGGCAATTTGCTGTCTTTTTTTAGTGTCTTGAAAGTGTGGATGTATTTCAACAATAACAACAGGTTTCATTCACTGAGTGCTTACTGAGCCAGGCACTGTGTGAAGATGGCACAAGATCCTCCCGAAAACCCAAGCTCTTTGATGAGCTCATTTCTCAGGGTGGCACAGAGAAGCTCAGAGAGGGGAAGTCACTTGCTCGAGGTGACACAGCTCATCAATGTAATGCACACGCTGGTCTATGCGGCTTCCGCATCCTGACCACCTTCCTGTAACTAGCCTCCACCTCTGTCTCCTGATGTTGAGGATATTTTGGTTCTCTCAGCTTGTATTATAGCATTCTAGGGAGCTGCAGAAGCAAGAAAGCCAAATGCTACCTTCCCCAGAAACTCTTCGGCAGCCCAGGTTCTGGGTATGAATGGGATCTGGCAACCTCTGCTCTTGTGGAGATCTAGGAGGTGGAAATGGGGTGGCAGCCACCTTCCTGCCCCCTCTGACTTCTGCTCACACAGGCAAGACAATGGGATAAGGGTCTCTGCTTCAGCAGGGCACCAGTACTGGTTCTCCAGACCTCTGGGCAGCAAGAGGCTCTTCTGGTGGAGGATGATGTTTCTGAGTCTTGCATCATAGCCCTGGCTGTATGTTCTTGAGCTCAGCAGAGCTCCAGGGGGCCTCAAAGGCATGCGCTCCCTTGGTGTATCAGCTCTGCCGTGGTAAAGTGTCTCCTGTAGGTCCTGTCCTGGGCCTGCTCCTCCAGCCCTTCCTACGACGGTGTAAGCACCACAGCTAATTCTCCATATTAAATCCTTCAAGTTGAAAGCACAGAGAAGTTCTTTTGGACACTGAATCCTAACTTATACACCAGAATCGAGTACAAACTCAGGCAGAGAGCACATTCAATACACGTGTGTCGAGTGAATGACCGAAAGGATGTAATAGAACCCAGTGCGGTGGTCTGGGGACCAGGAGGGGCGGGAGATGACGGAGTGCGAGAAATGTGACCCAGCTGACACTGACAGGCTGGGCCACAGGCGGGGGGGGCGGCCCGGCTGCCATCCCCCCAGCACCCCCCAACTCACAGGGGTGCTCGTGCTGTCCTTCCGCCGCTCTGGGATCTCTGCCTTGTTGGGGTTGTGGGCGCTGCTGACCATGGGGCTGGAGGGGGGCAGCCCGCGACTCCCACTCCCCGCAGCACTGCAGCTCGCCTTCCGGCCTGGCAGGCGCTCCTCCTTCAGCTCCGCCTCCCCCGTGCTGGTTGGGCTGCGCTTGGGGTGCAGGGGTGCAGGGGATGGGCCACCTGGTAGAGGGAGGGGACAGTTTTGTGCTGGCATCAGCAGAAAAAGCAAAAATCTACTCTGGGTGATCCTTAGAACCTCAGAATTCCTTGCACAGGCCGTTCTGACAATGTCTAAGTGACATGTAGTCACGGACTCAGAGGCACCACATAAATGACAGAACACATGTGCAGGTTATTCACTACATCCTACTTCTTTTTTCTTTTATTCAGGCCAAAAGATTGGCAACAGCCTGAACACCCCTTAATATGGGAATAATTATGTAAGTCAAGATATTGCCACCGAATGGAATACTATGCAACTATAAAAAATGTTCACATACAGAAAGATCTTCAAGATAGACTGTGAGGTAGAAAGGGCAAGGTTAGGTATGAGGTCTACAGTGGGCTATCATGTGTTAAAAAGAGGAAAAGTATATACCTATCTATATCTATTTATCTGTACTTGTTTATAATGAATGTTGCCCAAAGACTATCACTTCTATTAAAAGAGGAGAATATCTTTATGGTATATTAATATATTAACGTTGTATTTCTACATCTTTATCCATTTTCATATCTTTCTCCTTTTCACGTCTGTCTCTTTATATATTTATATATGAATAAAACTTCTCTAAGAGTTCATATAAAACTGGTAACAATGGCTGTTTCCAAATGGGACTAAGGGGCTGGGAGAAGCGTGTAGGACAAAGATGTTTTTACTGTCTGTGCTCTCTGCACTATCGAGTTTTGAAGGATGTGACTATTAATTTCAAAAACAAAACAAATTTAGTCCCTTTAAACATCTTGAAAATGTATGGTTTTAGAACCCAGGGGTTAAGGGTGTTCTAGAACTTCAGAGAGTCAGAACTTCTGTGTGTTAAAATGCAGAAAACTTAATGCTCAAAAGCCCCAGAACCATAACAAGCTCTACAGTGACAGACACAGACCACCCATCAACCATCTTTCATCCCACAAACCCTGGAACCCAGAAGGTCTCCGTGTGGATTATTTTTAAAGGTTAGCATGTTCTAATCACAGGTTGTCGGAATCACAGGCTTCTCAGGGTCTTTCTGGGCCAATCTCGCTATTGTATAGGTGGGGAAAAGGAGACCCAGCGAAGAGGAATGGCTTGACCATCCAGGATACTTCCTGCTCAAAACTAAGCTTCCCTGACTTCCCTCTTCCTGTACTAGTGCCTGTCCCAGAGTAAGGAACAGCGATGAGAAGTAAGGAACAGAGTAAGAGAAGTAGGGATGCAAAAATAATGGAAAGCTGGAAATCGCCTTGGCAGTTATTTAACTATTAAACATAGAGTTACCATATGACCCAGCGATTCCCCCTTAGGTACACACCCAAGAGAAATGAAAACAAAGACCCACACAGAAAATTACAACAGCCAAAGGTGAAAACCCAAATGACCCTCCACTGATGATGCATAAACAAAATATCATATATCCATGTGACGGAATATTATTTAGCAATAAAAAAGTGGAGTACTAATACATGCTATGATATGGATGAATCTTGAAAACATGCTAAGTGAAAGAAGGCAGCCACAAAAGGCCACAGATTGTATGATTCTAATTATAAGAAAGGTCCAGAATAGGGAAATCTATAGAGACAGCAGATAAGTAGTTGTCAGGGGTGGGGGGCTGGGGTGGATCGGAGATTTGAAGTTGATGGCTAAGGACTGGAGAGTCTCCTTCCAGGATACTGACCATGTTCTCAAGTTGGCTGTGGCGAAGGATGCACAAATCTGTGAACACACTAATGCCACTTAATTGTATATTTTAAATGGGTGAACTGCACAGTATGTTAATTATTTCTCAATAAAGCTATTAAAAAATATAGTGAAGATGATTAAGATGAGAGTGTAGGTAGAGACCTCTTGCAAGTTCCCATGTCTCATTTATGGTGGCAGTGGTCATGGGTCTATTTTCTACAGGAGATGAGATATCTGTTAGTTGAAGAATGTAGGATGCAAGCAGGTGTCTCCCCAGCCCCTTCCCACTAGTAAGTGTGGAAGAGAGGCAAGAGGGCAGGCTTTCAGCAGCCTTTTTGTATAATGTGTCCTCCTGTGTCCCAGTCAAGTGGATTAATCCCGACTGGACCCTGATATCAAGTGGATCAAAGAGATTTTAGCTACTATTGAGCTGGTCTCTAAAACTGAGTTGTAAGAAGTTAAGAGACTGGGGAAAAGGTAAGGCAGGATATGAAGAAAAGAAAGGAAGAACCAGATGAACAAAGAAGAAGCAAGACACAGAGTGTCTGTTCTAGGGTTGGCTGCTTTTCCAGTTTCTAATCCCTTCCTAAGCCTGGCTGCCTCCACATTCCATGCAACGTCCCTGCACCTTTATAAGACATTTCGCCCTTGGTTGCAGTTGGCTCGAGCTGGTTTCTGCTGCTTGCCAGCCAGAGAACCCTGACATCATGCAGGTCGGGGCCTGGGGGCCAGGGATATGCACGCGCTGGGGCGACACTCACAGAAGTCGCTGTGCCTGCGCTGGCGGTGGTAGGTAGAGGAGGAGCCCCGCTGCCCTTTGCTGTGGCTCGTGCCTTTGCTGGAGCTTGTTCCATTGGTGGTGTCGCTGGGCGCCCGCACCCGTGCCAGGGCCAGCCCCGGGGCACCCCGGTCCCCACCCTCCTGCAGGAAGATGACAGACGAGGAACCTCAGCCCCATCCCCTCTGTCCCAGAGGTCTCCCTCCACCCCAGGTATCGCGCATCCCGAATGTCCCTGACGCCTTCTGACCTCAGTCTTCCTGCCCAGCAGGAGGTAGGTGGCGGTCACTTCGTTGTACTTCTGGCTGGTCAAGGCCTCTTTGATTTCTTCCCGCGTGTAGCCCATACCCACCATCACCTCTGGGAGAGGGGGATGGAGAGGAGGTTCAGTCTCCCCAGACCCTTCCCTTCCACTCTTTTCTGCATCACACAGTAATGCCTGCACTTTGGCCTGTCCAGTAATCATTTCCCCCCTGCCAGCAGCACCCTGGTTTTCCTTGGAAGAATATTTCTTCCCTGCTCAGATCCCCCAGCTGACTCCTGCCTGCTCCAAACCCCAGAGGCAGGCATATTACTCAGGTCTGGCCAATCAGAGTGTTCTATCCCCAAGGCCACACTGATTGGCTCAGGGTGGGCATATGACCCACTTCTGGCCAATAAAAAAGTGGTCCATCCCCAAGGTCAAACTGACTGCTTCAGGGGTAGCCAATGGGTCCGACCCTACAGCTTCCATTGAAACATTAGGAATGTGGCTTCTCCTCCTGCTGAGGTGTCCGGGCCACTGGGATATGCTGTTGTCAGTTTGCTCCTGCAGGGAGAGCTGCCTGGGAAAAAAGTCACCACTGAGAAGATTCCTAACAACTGTCTCTGAACACCTGGATCCAGCTGTGCCTGAAGGCGGACATATCATGGCCTTTTCAGTTATGTGAATGAAATAACATCACTATTAGGTTAAACCACATGAAACTACTCATACTGATATTTTCTGAGCTATGAAAATGGTGATTTCATATGGATCAACCAATTATTATTTTCTGGTTGAAGCCAGAATGGCTTGGGTTTTCTGTTACTTGCAACTGTGTAGTCCTGATTAACACAGCCAGATCTGATGGTGGCTTCAATTTCATCAGCTGCAGAGTGAGGGTTTACTAGATGGTTCCTAAGGGGCTCTTCCAGGGCTAATGCTTTAGGGCCAAGTGTTCGACGGCTCTGGGCTGAAGGGATTGGGACTGAAGGGGTGGTGAGTGAGGCAAGTGCCAAGCTGGGAGTTTTTCTCAAGCATGCAGATTACTGATGGCTTTGTCCAAACTCTCCTGGAAGTCACCCGTGAGTTCTTGTGTGTTAACAGTCAAAGCTAACACAACAGCACTTATTACATGCCTACTATGACACAAAGCACTTGTTACATGCCTAATGTAAGTGCTTTATATAAATTCATTCATTTAATATTCATAACAAACTTATAGGACAGGTTCTATGATGATCTCACTTTATAGACAAGGAAACAGAAGCACAGAGAAGGGAAGCCACTGGCCCAGGGTCACACAGCTAGAAAGCAGCAGGGCAGGGACCAGAGCCCAGGCTTCTCTGCTCTCCCCAGGCGCCTTGCAAAGTTCTCTGACAGACTAACCAAAGGGGTAGGTGCTGGGAAGCTCCCGCTCCAGGCTCCGCAGCCCACGGCCCTGCTTCCCCTGACCCTCACCGATTCGCTTGGTGTCCCCGAAGTCCTCCTCAGGCTCTGTGTATGGCTTCAACTCCTCACCCTCATAGCCGATGTTGATCCATTTGTCTTTCATGATTTGCTGCAGGATTCGGGAGCAGGACACGGAAGGGGAAAGAGAGAGATGTCAGAAGACACAGGGATGTAAACATAGCTCTCAAATGGGGCTCCTGCCCTGCTTTGCCCCCCACCTTCAAGGCCCAACACTCCAGAATCGAGGCCATCCTGAGAGCTAGCACCTCCTCTCCCAACCCCCAGCCCCCATCTGGAGCCTGCCGAAGCCACCCTTCCTCCTCCGCATCATCTGGGCCCCCAGCGCCCTGTAATCATCCTAGGAGCTCATTAGCTAATTACTGGCATGTCGGGGAGTGGGCGAGGCTGTTGGGGGGGCGGTGGCATCAGGATGAGTCTAGGAGCCTTTTCCTGGGCTGCCCGTCTCCCATCACCTTCCAGTGGCGCATTGGACAGAGGAGAGGAACCGCGTCAGGCAACAGGGCTTCAGTGGGAGGGGTGTGGGGCTGGGGGCTGAGCTCACCTCGAGAGTACAGCGTTTAGCTGGGTTCAGCACCAAAAATCTCCGCAGGATGCTCTCACAGTCTGTCGACATGTAGAAAGGGACCCGGTACTTCCCTCTGAGGACTCGCTCCCGCAGCTCCTGGGGGAATGGGGTTATTGGGGGAGGGGTCCACCCCACCTCCCCAACCATCACACACACACACACACACACACACTTTCTCTTCCTCTTTCTCAATCGCCTGACAGAAGTGACAGGGCCTCTAAGTCCTAGCCCTGAGGTGGTGGGAAAAACCCCACCACTTTCTCTCGATCTCGGTTCCCATCTGTAAAATGGGAACACTGTTACAGATGCAGCAGTTTTCAAATAGGTTTTTTTTTTTGTTTTTAGAAAGCAATATAACTTTTCACTCTGAGGAAATCTTACAGAGTGGGTGAGTTCTATGAGCCAGATAAGGGGGGAGGTGGGCCAGCAGTTGGCCTCTGGGGCCTTAGTTTTCATATCTGTAAACAGGGACCATAGCGTTCACTTTCCAGGCCAGGGTAGGAGTGAGTTTAGAGAAGTGAATGCCTAGCACGAGTCAGGCCCAGAGCAAGTGCTTTTTAAATACTAGGTTTAGGGAACTTCTCCAGGCTGCTTTCCAATGCAGGAGATGCAGGTTTAATCCCTGGTCTGGGAAACTAAGATCCCACATGCCACGGGGCAACTAAGCCCACTTGTCGCAACTAGAAAGCCTGTGTGCTGCAACAGCTGAGCCCGCGCTGTGTAGGGTCTGCTCTGCAGTAAGAGGAGCCCGTGTGCCACAACAAAGACCTGGCACAGTCAGAAATAAAAACAAAAGGAAAGACTAGGTCTACAAAAGGGGACGAGAGAGGGGCATCCTGCCCGCCCCCCGCACCTGTCTTTCCAAAAAGCTATGAGGCCCTGGCAGTCTCCAAGAAGGAACACTGATTTACATGCTGACTTTTTTTTTAGGGCTTTTTAGGAGGGCCCTGCCAAGGCTACAAAAGAAAAAAAACAAATTCCATGCTCCATGGCATGGCAGACCAGGGGAAGCACCTACCATCCTGAACAAAGAACTGGGAGAGAGAGAAAATGGAGTGGGAGGTGAAGGGAGGAAGGGGTGTCTCTGGGTGGAGCTCTGTGCCAGGGCCTGGGCTGGGAGTTCCCTCGGGGTGCCTTCTCCTAACAGGGCAGGATGAGGCCTGGGCCTGGGGAGCCTCCTACACTGCACATTATCACAGCCCGGAAGGTCGTGAATATTTCATAGTGATAAGTATCACTTTCAGAGCCCTTATCGTGAGCCAGCTGCGTTCTAAGCGCTTCACACATATGACATCTATGCTCACAAGGATGCTGTGGAGCAGGGTCATGACGCCCATTTTCCAGAAGAGGAGACTGAGGCCCAGAGAGCTTAAATCACTTGCTCTGGGTTTGTGCAGCCAGAAAGTGGCAGGGCCAGGGTTCAAAGCCAGGCAGTCGGGCCCTGGAGCCTGTGCTGTGTAACCACCGCTCCACACTGCCTCTGTCATGTGATGCTGCGAAGTAATCAAAGGGACACTGACCCCCCCACCAGGGCAGCTCCCAGGGGTGACACTCTGGCCTGATGCCAAGTCCTGGTGAAGGGCCTCACACACCCAGTCTGGCTGTAAGTGTCCCCACAAGGAGAGGTTCAGAAAGAGATTTGTACAAGGTCACTTAGCAAGGAAATGACAGAGCAGACATGGCTCCCAGCCACATGTTTCCTTCATCCAGCAAGGCTTGGGGAGCCTGGTGGGGAAACCAGGACAGCAGGAAGTGACAAGAGCCTGGGGTGGGTGAGATGCTGGCCTAGCCCTTTGGGAAGATCTCCTGATTTCACGCTTGGGGCTCAGAAAGATTGTTATCTGATCTCATCAAGTCCTCACTCCACTGCTATGAGGCGGTACTTTAAGGTCCTCACTGACAGAGGGGGAGACTGAGGCTCGAAGGGGTTGGCTGATTGGCTGACGCCACGGCAACAAGGGGCCCCTCCGACTCATCACTCAGGGCTCTGCTGACCTGTTCTCAGCAATGACTTCCCCGATCCCCTGACTGCTCCTCACGGCTACTTTGAGCAGGCCTGAGCATTCTTGCCCGAGTTTTGGAATTCCCACCCGAAATGCACCACCTGGATCCAATCAGGAGGAAACAGGGCAACCCAGACTGAGGGAGGCTGTTTCTGCAAGATGACTGGCCTGAACTCATCACTGCCGGCCGCGGAAGACAAAGAACCGCCGAGGAGCTGTTCCAGATGAAAGGAGACTAAAGAGACAGGACCGAACGCAATGAGGGCACCCGAGGGGACACTGGGGCAGGAGAAAAAAGTAGCTGCCAAGGATATTCTCGGGATGACTGATGAAACCTGAGCACGGGCTGTGGGTTAGAGCTAGGGACTGATCAGCGCTGGATTTCCTGAGCGTGATCGTGGACGGAAAATGCCCCATCTTAGGAGATCCCGGCTGTACGCAACCTTCAGAGGGGGAAGGGATGTGGTGTCTGCAACGGACTCCCATGTGTTCCATCAGGAACTGCGAAGGCAGGGACAGCACGAGCGTATGCAGACACATACATGCAGCACACGTGGCCACGGGCTGGCAATCAGAGCATCTCCCGAAAAGGACCACTGTCCTCTGTTCCAGTCTGACAACTCTGTTGATCAGCATGTTTCAGAATAAAAAATTCAAAGGGAGGAAAAAAAAAAGAAACAACCCAACACTACAACTCACCCCACACTTCCCACCCCCTTCCATAGAACTGGCCAGCATCTAATGTGCTATATATTTTGCTTATTATTTTATTTTCTGCCTGGCTCTGTTGCAAGAATGTCAGCATGAGAAGGATTTTTTTTTTTAAGTGCACCATTCAATGGTTTTTCAGTACATTCACTGAGCTGTTGCAGTCATCACTCAAATCCGTTTTAGAACATTTTCATTACCCCCAGGAGAAACCCTGTCATCCAACTCCCCCCGCCTCCCTCGTCTTAGGCAACCACTGATCTGCTCTCAGTCTCTGTGATTTGCCTGTTCTGGACACTTCACAGGCATGGAATCTACCACGGGGGGCCTTTTGTGACTGGCTTCCCCCACTCAGCCTGTTTTCAGGGATCACCCAGGGAGCAGCATGTCTCCTTTGTTCACCCCGTGTCTGCAAAACTTAAAATAGAGCCCGACTCGGGGATGGTAAACAATAACTATATACTAAGTGGATGGGTGAGTGAACAGGATTTGAATCCAAGCTTGCCAGCTGCCAAGTCCACTCCTGAACCCCGACGCGGTCCTGCCTGACCCCCGTCCTGCCTTGAGAACTCGGCCCCGCCCCTCCAGGCCTCTGCAGGGGAGGGATCTGGGGGATGGGGGCTGTGAAGGCCGGAGACCCCCTCCCCAGGGGAGTCAGAGCCCCTGGGCCAGCCCCGCCCAGCACCTTGAGGTTGTGCCCGTCGAAGGGCAGGGAGCCGCTGACGAGTGTGTACAGGATGACGCCGAGGCTCCAGATGTCCACCTCCGGCCCGTCGTACTTCTTGCCCTGGAACAGCTCCGGGGCGGCGTACGGGGGGCTCCCACAGAACGTGTCCAGCTTCGAGCCCAGCGTGAACTCGTTGCTGAAGCCAAAGTCGGCAATCTTGATGTTGGCCTCGGCGTCCAGCAGGAGGTTCTCGGCCTGCCAAGCAAGGAGGGCAGAGGGCGGATGTGCGCGGCGCCAGAGCCGGCCAGCCTGCAGCGGCCGCGGCCTCGTCCCTTCTGCCTGTGTGACCTCAGGCAGTGACTTGACTTCTCTGGACCTAGTTTCCTCATCCATATGATAGGGATAATCAGGACCTCACAGGGATGTGTGAGAATTAAGTGACTTTATCCGTGCAAAAGGCCTCAGACAATAGTTCATGCCCAGTAAGCGCTATGTAATGGGTTTCCCTGGTGCTCAGCAGTAAAGAATCCACCTGCCAATGCAGGTGACGTGGGTTCCATCCCTGGTCCGGGAAAATCCCCTGGAGAAGGAAATGGCACCCCGCTACAGCATTCCTGGCTGGGAAATCCCCTGAACAGAGGAGCCTGGTGGGCCACAGTCCATGGGGTCGCAAAGAGTCAGACAGGACTGAGCGACTAAATAACAACAAGCGCTACATAATGTTAGCTCTTATTCTCCCATGTGGCCTGCAGGGCTGAAGGTCCTCAAGCAATCCCCTGTCTCTGAGTCTCAGTTCATCCAGCAGAAAAAAAATGAGGATGGACTGCTCAATACTTATAAAAATGAAAATCACTGTATACAAAACTTATTATGCACCTACTATGCACTGGGCTTTTAGACTATCCTTTATAAAAGTAGCTACATAATGCAGGGCTAAAGTACAGATTCTGGAAGAACCCTAGCTTTGAATCCCAGCTCTACCACTCACTGGTTGTGTGACTTTGGGTGGACTACCAGCCCTATTTGTGCCTCGGTTTCTGATGTGCAAACTGAAGGTCATTATAGCAGCAGCCTCACAGGTGGTCTTGGGGTTCACTGAAAAGTGCTCATCACAGCACATGGGACAGAGTCAGCACTCAATAAATACTTTATATGATATGTGTAGGTTTTTGTCTATTTTTGGTGGCAGGTGTGTATTTGCCATTTCACAGGTGAGGAAACCGAGGCTCAGGGGGGCTACCTCATGCCTCCCTGAGAGCATGAAAGTAGCAGAGCTGGAACTCAGAAGAGGCCTGCCATTTCCATAGCCCGAGTGTGGAAGGAGCCTCCAGCATCCCTCTTCTTCTGGTGTGCTGACTATACAACGATGCACAAAAAAACCTACCCTTCAGAACGCTGCCAGTGCCTAACCCCTGCCAACCTCCGCCCTTCCCCAACCCAGCGTGTGGGGCTTCCTCCTGGTTTCCCTCCCTCCTGGTGATACATTTCGGTACCACCCTTCAGCACCTCTGACCCAACAAAGGGACAGAACCCACACAGACACACAGCGAACCTCAATCCAGGGGCACCTCCATCTTGCTCAGGGGTGACACTCCCCGTCAGGGCATCTGAGGCTCCAGAGTTCAGCCCCACCCTCACTTCTGGGTTGCTCCTCCCGGTGGGTCCCCCGGGTGCACTAACCGGATCTCCGAGTCCCCTTTTAGCCACTTCCAGGACCCTCCACCAGGGGGCGCGCGTCCTTCAGGCTGTTCGCAATGGCTCACTCACACCCCTGCAGGGCAAACTCCCGCCTCTGAGGAGCTGCCTCAGGGGGCTGTGTGGGGATTTCAGCAGCACAGAGGCAGTGTTTCGAAACTTCTACAGCAGTTTGACAGAATTTTGTGTTTTTTTTTACTCTAATAATAATCATCTTAAAAATCAGGCTTGTATTTTTTCTTCTATTTTTTTTGTCTCACTGGGTTGCATGCAGAGATCTTAGTTCCCTGACCAAGGATCGAACCTCTGCCCCCTGCGGTGGAAGCATGGAGTTCTAACCACTGGATCACCAGGGAAGTTCCTTGGGCTTGTGCTTTATACATCTCTTTTTCCTTTAATTTTTATTACACTTTACCCAAGTCCCTGTCCACAATGGCTTGGGAACTGAAGCTACTCAAACAAACCAAGGATTCTGCGGTGGAAACAGTGAGAAGCAGTGCCTTAAGTACTCAGCCCAGGGCCTGGGACACAGCGGGCGCTCAAGAAATCACCATCATGACAACAGGCAACCTGATTCGGACCAGACACACGTTTCTTTCTCCGGTCTGGGACGAGCATTGCTGAGAAAGGAGGTTCTCTCGGCGGGGAGGTGTGGAGCGGGGGCCCTGGGCTCAGCCCGGAGGTGGGGTGGAGCAGCGGAGGCCCCACTGAGTCTCCCGTCCCCACCAGGCACTCGCCCTCCCTCTCAAGTCCAAAGATGCCTGTGACTCCGATACCCTGGAGGCCGTGGGACTCTGGGGCTCTAAGATCTCAATTCTCGAGGCTTCCTGAATGTTCTTAAAGTCTCCGGAGACCCTGAGAGTGACGTTCCTTACTGGGTGCGCTCCAGTGACCTTGCCGGGACACATGTCACTGTCCAAGGCCGCTGGGGGACACTTTGTTTCTTTCCCCTTTGTTCACTCCTCCTGTCCCTGCCCCAACCTGCTCCCCGCTTTGGCTGGCCTTGTTTTTTGCCACAGAAGCCTGGGAAAAAGTCAAGGGGTTCTGGATGCTGAGGGAGGAGCACGAGGAGGGAAGGAAGGGAGACGTGGAGGGCACGGGGTGCCCCGGGGGACTGCGGCGGGCCTGGGGACAAGCAGGCATCTGTGGGCTGAGCTGGGGGCTCACCTTCAGGTCCCGGTGCACAATGTTTTTCTGGTGACAGTAGTGCACAGCCGATACGATCTGCAGGGGAGGGGAGAAGAGGGCAGGTTGGTTACTGGTGGCCCCCAAAGCTCTCAGCCTCCCTCAGAGACCCCATGAACCCACCTGCGACCGAGCTCTGGACTCCAGGCCTCCCCAAGCACAGGCCGTGATGCTGGGTCCCCACCGAGCCCTAACTCTGACCACTCCCCACTCAGTCACGGCAGGAAATGAAGAGGGAGCTGCACCCACACCGCCTCCACCCAGACACCTGCATGTCCCGTACTAGACACCGGGACACCCTCCTGGCAGGGACATCAGCACCAAGGCAATAGAACTGGCCCCTCCTGACTTTCATGTCGAGAAACACACATAAGAACATCATACACCCAAACACAGACAGGCAGCCCCAACATACCAGGGCTTGAGCCCTGCGCACCCAGCATAGCTGCGTCCAACAGCTGGACAGTCCCGGATCAACATGCTCGCTCTCTTCACCCGCCAAACCCTCCTACATACCCGAGCATCCTCACTGCCACGCACCTGGACGTCCACACTCCTCCTTATCCACCTGGACATCCTCGTGCCACATACTCTCTGGCCCATCAACCTACATGGCCTCCCTTGGGCTCCCGTGCACCCCCTTATGCACCCGAGCATCCTCACTGCCACAGCTGAAACCACACGGCTGGGCACCCATATATATTGTGCCCTCTTACCACGAACTTAAGATACCCCCACTTGGGGTCCCCTCACCCATACACCCCAGCTACCATATGCACTTTCACCCAAAGAGCTACACACCTATATACCTGGACACCCACACTCTTTTACTTACATACCTCAGCACCCTGGTACCTGCGTGCCCTCTTAGGCGCACTCCTATATACTGGGCACACCTTCACACTCACACACTGGACATTTGCCTACCTGGGCACCTTCATGCTTGGTCCTCTCACCCACCCAGCTAGGCAGCTGCACCCCTCCATCTGAATATCCTCACACCTGGTCTCTGCATGCCCATGGCCACCTAACTGTCCACCTTCACCCCCACCCCGACTTAAGCCACGCCCCCAGGTCCTTCAACAGCCCAGACTCACAATCAGACCCTCATCCCTGGGGACTGGGCGCCCCTCCCAGCCCCGCCCGCAGCCATGACCCTGACCTGTCGGAACTTGGCTCGAGCCTCCTTCTCCTTCATGCGGCCGTGGGACACGAGGTAGTCAAACACTTCTCCTGCAGGGCAGAGGCCGAATGGGTCAGGCGGGGGATGGGGGGGGGTGGAGCAGAGAGCAGGGCAGGGAGGGGAGAGGCCTCACCAGCACTTGCATATTCCATCACCAGGTACAGTGTCTTCTCCGTCTCAATCACCTCGAAGAGCTTCACTGCAATGGCCAGGGGGTGGTGGGAGAGGGGTTAGGCGAGAAGAGACCCCTCACCTTCCACCCGCACTTGGTAACTGCGCATGTGCTGACCATGACGCCCCTTACTCAAGAATAGTCAATGGCTCCCTACTGATGGCAAGATTTTTCCAAACTCCCTGACCCCACTTGACCACCGTCTCCACTTCCTCACAAGAGTGTCAGCTCTGTGAGGCTGGGGACATGTGCTTGTTGTCTTCACTGCTGGGCCCCAGAGTCTGGCACATGAGCAGCCACTCAAGGGATACTGAGTAGGTGAACAAACGGATAAATGCATGCTGCGGCCACATTCAGGCCAGGCCATATCCGGCTTCACTGGTAAAGACCTCACTCTCTTGGCTCTGACTAATGATGACAATGACAATGGATGTTGCTGATGACAATAATCAGAGCGGCTCCCACAGCTTAGCTCCGAACTAAGTGTTCTGCATGCACGATCTTATCCAGTCCTCACAATGACCTTGAAGTAATAAGCCCTCTTATCACCCCCCACTCCAGAGGAGGACACTGAGGCTCAGAGAGGTTGAGTGACTCACCCAAGGTCACACAGCCAGGAAGCAGGGATATTGCTATGAGAAAACAGGTCTTTCTAACTACTATAACAGCCAGTTCTCTCTTCCCTCTGATTCTCTTTTCCCAAGTGCCCTGGTTGGTATCCATTGAACCCACCCCCTTCTCCTCACCAATGTTGGGGTGGTTTAGGCCCTTCATGATACGGACTTCTCGGAACAGCTGGAAGAAAGGAAAAAGAGAAAGATGAGGATGGGGTGTTTCAAGGACCCTCTCCCCAACCTTTCCCCCACCTTGCTCCCACTCCCTGGGTCTCACCTTTTGCAGGCTGCTGGGGTTCAGCTGGGTTTTGTCGATGATCTTGATGGCGACCTGGAGATGGAAGAAAGGGGGAAAGGTCAAGGTATCACAGGCCCTCAAGCCGGGAAAGGTTCCCTCATCCAGTCACCCTAGTGTGTCGTTCCTTTGTCCCCTTTCAGAAACAGCCCTCAACCTGGGCCATTCTTAGTGGATGGGAATTGGAACCTCAATGCTTTTGCACATGCTGTTCTCACCATGTCCAGGGAAATATCCCCTATTCCATCATGGGGTCTGGTTGGGGCTGCTCCAGGGGCCTGTCCAGAGTGAGGGTGACTGAGACCCTGAGGGGGGCCTTTGGGAGGGCATCTCAGACCATTCACATGGTGGAGCAAGAAATAATAACCAGAGCTCACATGTACCACGTAGTCACAAGAGCCAGGCCCTGGGCTATGTGCTTTACAAATGACAATTCTTTTTTTTGGCCACCTGGCATGTGGGATCTTAGTCCCCCAACCAGGGAGTCAATCTGCACCCTTTGCATTGGAAGCAGAGTCAACCACTGGACCACCAGGAAAGCCCCTAAGTGAGAACTCTCTGAATCCTCCCAACAACCCTGTGAGGTTATCCTCATTTTCACAAATGGGGAAACTGAGGCACAGAGCTGTTCCACAACATGGGCAAGGTTACATGGCTGGGAAGTTTGTGGGTTGGGGTTTGAACTTGTGCAGCTTGACAGAGTCAACCTTTTACACACTTAAAATCTATAGCTAGTTTTGAAAAAGTTTTGGGATAGTCATCACTGGGGAAAAATCAAAATGTTATTGAAGCCTCTTTATACTTATCCTGCAGTTTAGCTAATTTTTATTCTGAATTACATGTTAGGGTACAGCACTTCAAAAGTCTTAATCCAGCTTAGGTCTTCAGTTTTCTCAAAGAGTTTTGGGGTTACCCTCAGTCACCTCAGATCCACTGGATTACAGAACTCTTCTCCTGGGAGGTTCTGTTCCTTAAGAAACCCCTGGAGTCATGTTCAAAACTCACGTGAGGGGAATAACGCACTTTTTGTGGGGGAAGAGGGTCTTCCTAAGCTTCCTTTATATTTTCACAAATGGGTTTTTAATCTCAACAGGCACTTTTTATGCCAGTATTGAGATGATCATATGGTTTCTGTCCTTAAATCTGTGAATGTGGCAAAGTACATGAATAAATTGTCAATTTGAAAAGAACTGTGCATTCCTCAAATAAACCCAGCTTTGTCACCACACAGCTTTCTTTAATTGATATGTCAGAGTCTATTTGCTAATATTTTGTCGAAGATTTCTGCATCTATATTCACACGTAAGACTGGCCTACAGTTTTACGTCTCGCCTGGTTTCACTGTCACTGTTGGACAAACATGTAAACTCGGCAGCGCAAACTCTCTAGTCTCTGGAAGTAACTGGCACAAAACTGGAACGTTCGGTACAATCTGCCCATAAAACCACTGGGGCCTGGTATCTTTTGTGAGTGTGGCATAGATAGCGTGAGTGCAGGAGAAACTGCTTCCTGTCACCTTCTCTAAGACTGAAAGAGGTGTAGAGGGGTCATAAACACACCCACGATCTCTTTCTCTCCCCCATTAAGGGTGAGTTAGAGACTCCTCTCCATTTCTGCAACACTGCTACCACACCCAGTGTATGTATATATATACACACACACATGCCCACCTTAGAAGGCCGGGTGGGGAGGGTGAGTAAACATGAACAAACTTCTTGCATTCTCAATCAAGATCACTAGAAGGTTCCACTGAACCAAAGTCCACCATTAAAACAGGGAGGTGGCCTAGGTGTAAGGGCTTCCCAGATGACAGTAGGGGCAGAGAACCCACCTGCCAATGCAGGAGATATAAGAGACATGGGTTTGATCCCTGGGTGGGGAAGATTCCCTGGAGGAGGACATGGCAACCCACTCCAATATTCTTGCCTGCAGAATCCCATGGAGAGAGGAGCCTGGTGGGTTACAGTCCATGGGGTCGGAAAGAGGCGGACACGACTGAAGCGACTTAAGTGACTTAGCATGCACACACAGCCTAGGTTTAGGCACAAAAGCCATGTGACTTCGAAGGGACCCTGAACGTGGCTTGCCTGTGATCTGACTGAGACGATCCCACAATTCCAGGGATGCCTGAAACTAGCTCTCTTCTCCTACTTGGGTTGTTCTGGAACAAAAATCTGAGATGTTCTGAGAGTCAGAGATTTACCTACAGTCACAAAGCCAAGTGAGGTCCAAGCCTGTCCTCCTCCCACCAAGCACCAGGGCTGCAGGATTCTGCCCCCAGCCCCGCCCCTCCCCTCACTCACCTCCCGGCCGGTAAGGATGTGGCGGGCCAGCTTGACTTTGGCAAAGTTGCCTTTCCCAATGGTCCTCAGCAGGCGGTAGTTGCCCACGTGGGGTTGCTCCTCAGGACAGGAGGCGATGGAGTTCCGGCAGCGGGCGCCCAAGGAGCGGCTGGACCAGGACGGGCCCTTGTCCGAGGAGCGGCCGCTGCCCAGGGTGCCATGCTGAGTGGGGGAGACGGAGGATGAGTGGCAGGCAGTGCCCGTCCAACCTGCCAGTGTGCTGGGGCGGTTAACTCCAGCCATGGCCACTGCCCCCCTCAAGGCCCTTTGCAAACCCATGCGAGACAGAGGCCTTTGGTTCTCCTATCCTTCTCTCCAAAAAGATGTCTCCAAGAACAAAGATGCTGGGGGCCCCCCAACTCTTAGGCACTCAGGACATCAGCTGTCTTCTTCTTTACCCCTCCCTGTGATCAGGCTACCCCTGCCTCAACTTCCTTTCCTAATTACTGGGACCTCCATCAGCTCCAAAATACTTTATTCTAATGCTGCAGCCCTCAACCCCCATGTCTGAACTCAACCCTCTATCCCAACCGTCACTGCTCCCAACTTTCCATATTATCTATCTGTCCCCACCCAGCCTCTCAATTCCATGGCAAACCCACCTATCAACATTTCACTCCCAGTTTCCTGCTCCTAATGTTTTCTTCTGATCCTTACTGCCCCCAGTTCTACTCCAAACACTGTAACCAATCGTCTTTCATTCCACCCTGATACTGTAGGCCACACTGTTAACCTTCCTCCTGTAGGAAACTTTGTGGCCTCCTCGATCCGCCCCCCACCCCCACCACCGCCCTGTGAAACACACAGCTCCATCCGAACCCGACCCGCAGTCTCCCACGCCACGCCACAAGCTGTCCCTGACGTTCTGTTCCTGCCGTCCTGTCCCTCCTGGGCCTCTCCCCCTGCGGGTCACCTGCCTGCTCCTGGCTGCCCTGCCTTCACTGTGAGCCCCAGGGACTGTGACTCCCTTTCAGAGCTGGGGCCCAGGGTGCGGGAGACAGGCCCCAGCCAAGACAGCTCAGCTCAGACCGTGTGCTGTCCCTGAGCCCCTCCCAGGGCTGGGGGATGGGACTCAGGAGGATGCGGCACTGAGGAAGAGAGAAGGCTAGATATGCAACAAAGAGGAGGGCCCAGGGCAGCTCCTTGCAAGGACTCTGCCAGGCCACTTAACAGTGATGGGGACCAACATCTAATGAACACTGGTCATTAAGGCATCATCATCCCCATTTTACAGGTAGGGAAACTGAGGCTCAGGGCTGCGCGGGTGGCTCAGATGGTAAAGAATCTGCCTGCAATGCAGAAGACCTGAGTTCAATCCCTTGGTTGGAAAGATTCCCTTGGAGAAGGGAATGGCTACCCATTCCAGTATTCTTATCTGGAGATTTCTGGGACAGAGGAGCCTGGAGGGCTACATATAGTCCATGGGGTCGCAAAGAGTTGGGCATGACTGAGTGACCAACACTTTCACTTTCAACTGAGGTTCATAGCTGGGACCTGAACCCAGACAGTGTACCACAGAGTTGATGTCTTCCCCTTGGCCACACCACACTGCCTCATGCTCCTATCATTTGTATTAAGTGGCCTTTACTATGGGCCAAATCCTGGGCCTTAATGCACCTCATCTGCATTTAACCCCCACAGCAGCCCACTGAGGGCGGCACCAGCACCCCCATATTCCAGAGGAGAAACTGAGGCTTGCGGTGAGATGCTGCCTTGTCAAGGTCACACGGTTCATTCATAAGAAACAGGGAGGTAATGTTCCCCGTGAGGGGCAGACAGACAGCTGCAGTGCTGGAGCCCTAGCCACCCGCCTGCAGCCCACCGTGCCACCACCCTGGCCTCCGAGGGGGGCCCAGTTATGATCCGCACTCCCTACACGGGGACCCCAGGGCTGAGGCACGGTCAGGACCTTGCCCAAGGTCACAGGGCAGAAGGAGCAGAGTGCCTAGGATTTGAACCTGGCTCTGCAGACTCCTGAGCCCCCAGCTCTTTCCCACATCCCCCGCTGGGCTGCTCACAACCCTGGGCCTCCTCCCAGGGGAAGGTGGGAAGGGAGCTGGAGATCCTGGCAGATAACGGCTCTGATTCTCACCCAGATAAAGGCTTGGAGAAGAATCCCCATTAGGTGGCACCAGGGGAGCCAACTGGGGCTGGGCTGGCATCCCACTGAAGGCAGCGTGGCTGAGGGACCCCTGCAAGGGACCGTTGGGGCAGTGGGTGATAAAGCCCCCAGGGGCTGGGGGCGGGAGCTAAAATTGGCCAGCACCAGCAGCTGGCCCGGCTCCCTCCCGACTGGCTGGCGCCCCAACACTGGGCCTGTTGCTAGGGAACCTCCAGAGGCTGGGTGGTAGGGGGCCCGGAACTTGGGCATGACCCCACATGGCTGTCATCATGGCAGGCGGCGTCACATCCAGGTGGCAAAGGAGGGGGGTATGACCTTGGATTCCAGGAAAGAGGTGACCCTCTGCCAGGACCGACAAGCAGGTCTTACAAGACTAGAGTTGGGAGGAGAGGGGAGAATTAACCATCCCCGAATTTCCCCACACATCTGAACAAGAGGAGGAAGTGCCTGTATGAGCCCTGTTTGCCAGATGAGGAAACTGAGGTTCAGAGAGGTGAGGTCACTTGCCTGAGGTCACACAGCTAGGGCGGGACAGAAACTAGATGTGAACTTACGCTTCTCCAGATAACCAAAGTCATAACAACAACGATAATAGCAGCTACAACAGGCCTGGCCCTATGCATCTTACTCACATTATCTCTTTGGCTCCTTTTACAACATCCCTAACAGGGAGGTGCTACCATCAATCCCATTTAGAGGTGAGGAAACTGAGGCTCCAAGCAGGGAATGTGCCTGCAAGCCCGCAGAGCAACCCATGACAGGCCTGCACTGAGGGTCCACCGCCATCTGACTCACACCCACAGTCACAATAGCTGCGAACACGTGTGGAGTGCGTCCTGTGTGCCAGGCTTTGCCCCTATCATCTCGACTAATCCTCTGAGGAATTCAAGTGATCACCCCCATTTTGCAAGGCAGGAAACAGGCTCAGGAGGCAAGAACCAGCTATCTGAGGTCACAGGGCAAAGCGGCTGGCAGAGCCAGTCCTGTGGGCTCCCTGTCACAGCCTGGGGTGACTGGGGGAGCGGTGGTTCTCATTGGAGACTCCAAATCAGAGTCTGGCCCGGAGCATGATGGCCGGTGGCGGCAGTGGTGATGGTGATGAGCGACAGTTTTCTGAGGCAGGGTCCTGCGAGGCGAAGGGACAGAGACAAAACACTCTGGTGGGCATCTAGGGTGAGGGTGGCTGGGGATTGGCAGGGAGCTGGCAGAACGCCCTGGGGGGAAAGTGATGAAGAACCCAGCTGGGGAAAAGTCTGGCATTGTTTGGTGGGAGAGTCTTTAGAAGCGCTGAGAGTAATCAGAAATCAGGGAAATGAGGAATGGGGGGAATCTCCCTGGGGTTGTTCTGGGCTGTGGTGTAGGGGCAGGGGGACCTGGGAATAGAGGGAAGGGTCCAAGCCATGGGACAGTGGAAGTCAGCGGCCAAGGATACCTGAGCCAGGGGCCTGGGTCTTGAGAAAACTCCTAGAAGTTAAAGAAGAGGGTTTCTAGGAGCAGTCCCTGGAACCAGAGAAAGGTCCAGGGGCCTGAAATTCTGGGGAAGGGGCTTCCCAGGCAAGCAGTGGATCCAAGGAACAAAGGCTGAGCCTGGTGGGAGGTCAGGGGCCTAGGAACCTGGGGAGAAGGCTCCCAGAGGACAGACCCCAAGAGAAGAGGGCTTAGAGCAGGGCAAGACCAGAAGCTTCAAGCCCAGGAGTCTTCTGGAAGAAAGATCTGGGGCCGGGCCTTGTGAGCTGAGGAAGGGCTCTGACGCTGAGGAGGGGGCTTCCCTAGGAGGCCAGACTCCCTGGCAAGGAAGAGGGAGGCCCTGGGGGCAGCGGAAGGGATGGGGGCCTGGAGCCTAAGGGGTGAGGTAGTATCCTGTGAGGAGGGGAGTCACAGGGTTGGGGGCTTGAGGAGGGGGCTTGCCTGAAGCAGAGGAGTTGATATAGGAAGGATGAGGCCTGGGGTCAGACTGGTTCAGGGCCTAGAAATCCGAGACTGGGCTGGGGGGGGGCCTGGAAATTGGAGGCCAAGGCTTCCTGGGAGAGGAAGAGACCAGAAAGGGTCCGGGGGCATCTGTGGGGATGGGAGGTGCTGAGGATTCAGAGACAGGGCTGCTTGGAAGATAGGGACCAGGCCTTGGAAGTGGAGAGACCTTGAACAAGCTAGAAAGGGCCCTCGGCCCAGGAAAGGTGGAACTGGCTTCCTGTGAGGGGGTGCCCACAGGAGCCAGGAGGATTCCAGAGGGCCGGAAAGCTGTGGATGAGAGGAGGGGATCATGGGGAGCCCGGCACCCAGATCCTGTCGGGGAAGGCCAGGGGCAGAGGCAGCACCGGGCCAGGCCTTCCTGGGTTGGGGAGCGGGGGCCCGGGCTGGGCCTTGGGGTCAGGAGCCTGGCAAATCCGGGAGGGGGCCAGCTGTCGGATGCGGGCGGCCTGGAGGGGAAGGGGCTTAAGAACACGCCGGAGAAGGGAGGGGCTCCTGCAACGCAGGGGAGGGGGCTTCCTGGAGAGAAGAGACCCGAGCGGAAGCGGTCTGCAGAGGGACAAGAGAGGGGTCCCACGAGGGGGGCGCCCCCAGGGGTCGGGCTGGGCTAAGGAGTGAGTGGGGGAGGGTCGAGAGGCCTGGAAGTCCGGGCGGGGGTCGGGGGGTGGCGGGCCGGGCTGGGAAAACGAAGGTAGGGGCTTGTGTGGCCAGGGGCACAGCAGGACGAGGGGTTCGGCGGCCAGACCCAGCCGGGGCTCCCCAAGGGGCCGGGCCCCACTCACCGTGTCCGAGTTCCGATCGTTGCCCGGGGCCAGCGCCGTCCGCGAAGACATCTTCTCCGAGTCCTGGGAGACTGGGCGGCCGGGTCGGGGGGGGCGGGGGTCCCGGGGTCCCCTGTCGTCCCCTCCCCCCCCACCGGCCTGGGGACGCGAGCTCAAAAGCTGGGCGCCGCGGACACCCGGGTTCGCGCCGTGGGAGAGGGGGCAGGGCGGGGGAGGGAAAGGATGCCGAGGGTCCTAGTGGCCCCGAACGGCGGGGGCCCGGGGCGCCATGGGGGCGGCGGGCGGGCGGGAGGGCGGGGGCCGGGGAGGGGGCGCGGAGCCGGCCCGGGCGGCGGCGGAGGGAGGCGGCGGAGGGGCCGGGGAGGAAGGGACGTCAGGGGGCGGGGCGCGCGAGGCGGGGCCACAGAGACCCCGCCCCCCGCCGCCGGCACTTAAAGGCGCAGGCCGGGGCCGGCCTGGAGTTCTGGGGGCGGAAGCAGGTCTGGGCGCGTCGGCTCGGAGCAGGTTCTCACCGGAGAGCAGAGACTCACCGGAAGAGGAGTGAGAAAGGCCGAGGCACGGTGCCAGAGACGCAGAGAAAGATACTGAGAGGCGCAGATACGGGGAGGCCCAGGCAGAGAGACACAAAGAGATCGAGAGACAAGGGTAGGGAGAAACACAGAGACACAAAGAGATGAACGGGCAGCCAGACGACGGAGCGGCCAAAAGACAGAAAGGCAGAAGGAAGGAGAAACGCTGGGACAGACAGACAGACAGGGTGAGAGACACAGAGAGCGACAGAGACTGATCGATCCACGCACAGAGACAGAAGGAGGGACGGAGGTGCAGAGACCCGAGAAGAGAATGGAGAGAAAGAGACAGGACTGACAGAGAAGCCCCCAAAGCCCCAACCAGGCCGGCGGCGCTTCCCTGTTCTCCCTCCCAGCCCCGCCTCCTCGCCAGTCCAGGAAGCTCTGGGGACCGCGGGCTAAGGATGCTTGCGGGGACGGTGTCTGGGCGGAGCCACTGAGGAAGGGTGACCAACCTCTCTAGCCATGCTGCCTCCCACCTCCCAGAAAACTCCAGACCCCAAGGTTGTGGGTTGCAGTCTCCTTTTCTTTGCGACCCAGTTGAGGTCCCAGGACTCTGTGTCCAGCTCTGGGACTCAGGACAGGCACTGGCTCTTTCTGGGCCTCAGTTTCACTCTTCTGTAAAGGGAGGGGGAGGATCTGCATGCTGCCTTCCTAGTGGGGCTGAAGTAGGTGCAAAAGAGCCTGGTGCAAGCATTCTGCGAGGCAAACTGAGACCAGAGAGGCCAAGGGCTTTGCTGAGATCACACAGTGCCGCGGGGACCATGCGTCCCCTCCAGACCAGGGTGGAGCAGAAGCAAGAGGGACACTGCCCTGGCCGTGCGTTCAGCCCTTGCCTGGGATCGATGTCTGTGTGAACGTCTTCCTGAACCTCAGTTTCCCTTTCTAAAAAACTGGTTTGACAATGATAGCAGCCTGCTGGAGCCAGCTCACAAGCTGATTGTTGAAGTCTCAGGGATTTTGGAGCTGGTTGTTAAACACTCATCATTAAAAATTAAATTATGCAAACATACAATTAAATAAATTATATTTAAAGCAAAGATAATAGTCATCACGTCCTAATTATTTTACGTTTTGTTCTTGTGTGTGATCCTGAGGTTATTTACATCTATTGTATTCTATTACAGTGAAACTGCTATGTAAGGGGTGACGGCACATCTTTTTTCCCCCAAACGCTTTCAATGATGTCACCCTGGTAGCCTGGAATTAGCCATGGTGGGAATATTTACACCATGGAAATTGGCACGAGCTACAAAGAAAGGCTTTCTGTCCTCACTCAGCAGAGAGCTGGTGGTAACATATTGACCTGTATATCACTGCTTGATACTATCAGCTACGTCTCTACTCACAGAGGCTTCCTCTATGCCAGGTTCTGAGCACTTCATCCTTTTTGCTACACAGATTGGACCATCGTTGTCACCCCTGCTTACAGAGGGAAAACCACATGCTGAAGTCCACACAGCTGGTACGCAGCAGGGCTGAGATTTGAGCACAAGCGTCACCAAACTCCACAAAGCAGGCTCTTGGCCACTGTGGTTTCCTGTCTCTGGAGAGTAAAAGTAGCAGCCTAGCTCTGCGACAAATTAATGAGACTATGTAAGGAAAGCAGTTCTTGCGGGAAAAGATTAGAATTTCTTAAACGGGTGATATTATTATTATTCAACAAATGGAGCCTGAGGAGTCTCAGGGATGGTGGGAGGCAGAGAGGGGGGAGCTCAGAATGTTGTTCCGGAAGCTTTGGGATCCCAAGGGTTCTGCGGGATGAGGGGTGGGGTGTTGGGAATGGGATAGAGGCTGAATCCGCCCAATCCCTTCCCAGCCCTAGCGCTGACAGCTGCAGTTCTCCGAAACACCACACGAGGGCAGAAGATCACCTCCCTACACAGGTTGCCCACCACTCTTCAGGGCTCACCCTGGTTCCGTAGTTCCCAGCATGGTCCCCACCTCATTTCCCAGATGGGGAGACTGAGGCTTAAAAAAGGGAGGCTGTGGCATGGATAACCTTAAAAACTTATGCTCATAAAAAGAAGCATACCAAAGACCACTTATTGTATAATTCCATTTATAAGAAATGGGCTTCCCAGGTGGCTCAGTTGAAAAGGAATCTACCTGCCAATGCAGGAGATGAGGGTTTGATCCCTGGGTCGAGAAGATTTCCTGGAGAAGGAAATGGCAACCCATTCTGGTATTCTTGCCTGGGAAATTCCATGGATAGAGGAGCCTGGAGGGCTACAGTCCATGAGGTTGTAAAGAGTTGGATACAACTTCACAACTAAACAACAACAAATTGATATGAAATATCCTGAATAGGTAAATCTTTAGTGACAGAAAGTAGATTCAGGGTTGCCAAAGGCTGCGGGGAGAGCGCAGTAAGGAATGACTGCTAACAGGTTTTAGGATTTAAGGATTTCTTTTTGGGGTGGTGAAAATGCTTTGGAATTAGATAGTGGGGATGGTTGCCACAACTTGCAAACATACCAAAAACCATTGACATATGCTTTAAAAGGGTGAATTTTATGTCATAAGAATTACAGCTCAATAAAAAATTAAGTTAAAAAAGAGGGAGAGATCCAACAGTGTCCATGGCCCATAACAGATGCTTGGTTCCAGCCCGGCCAGCCTTCTCATCATCATGGGTCCACACTGACTTGGGGAGGACAAAGCCTGTTTCTCCCCTTGCCCTCTTGGCCACCAAATCAGCCCCTTCTGCGGGCTCCTCTGCTGACAAATCCAATCCTTAAATGGAGGCCTTCAGACCTTGGAATCTTAACCCTTGATGCATTTATCCCAACCTAATGTCCCCAGAGCCTTCACTGGGGCTAGGGGAGAAGGAGTGATCCCTGAGCCCAGCTCCGGTCCCTAATGTCAACCCTACCTCACCCCAACCAAAATCGAGCTGAGGCAAGTGATCATTCTCTCAGGCCAAACACCTGGGATACTCTGCCTGGGAACCCAAAGGGCCACCTAAGCCTAAAACCTAGCCTTGAAAGTAACCCTAATCCTGCATCTCACTCCATCCAACTCCCAACCCATTTCTAGCCCCAACCCATCTGCCCTCTTCATCCACAACGTCCCATCCTTAGCACTGCTCTATCCCCATTGGTGCATTCCATTAACAGATCTTTACTGAGCACCTACTCTGTGCCAGGTGTGTATTTAGAGCTATCACAATGAACAGGGTAAGCAAAATCTGCACTGAATTTATGTTTAAATGGGACAGTCAGAAAATCTACCAGGGAGCCAGAGGGACTTGATCATTTCAGGTTGTAGAAAGTACTACAAAGGACCTGACAAATCAGAGCAATGTCTCCGGGGAGGGAGGAGAGTACCTGGCGGGCAGAAGTGCTTTTGCTGGTCGGGAACCTCTCCTTGGAGGAAAGGACACTGGAGCTGAGACCTGGCTAATAAAGAGAAGACAGGCGTATGAAGGCCTGGGGACAGGGGCTTTTAGGCAGAGAGAACCACAGAAGCAAAGCCCTGCCCAGGGCCACCCCTGAGGCCTCCAACCAGCCCCTGGTCCCGGCAGAACCTTCCTCCATGTCTTTACCTCAGAGCGGGGAGCTCACGAGATCTCGGGGCCCACAGCCAGCATGGGGTGTCTCCGGGGGGCACCCAGGATGGTGTTGTCACCTTGGAAGGTGTGAAGAGCAGAATGGGGGGGTTGCCAATTCCGGTCGGGGTGGATGAAGGTGGGGCCTGACTGCAGCCTTGTCCCTCTTCCCAGCCCAGCCACAGCCTGGCCTAAAAGGGCAGACAGATAACAAGTCCTTCCCGCCCCTGGCCCCAGAGAGGGAGGGGTTTCCTGACAGGAAATTGACCTCCTCTAACCCCCCCTCCTCAGATCCAAGCTCTTGGCAGTCCTGCCTGAAGTAGCCTCAACACAGGACAGCAGCAGGGACAGAGGGACACTGACAAGGAGGTAAGTGTGCAGGAGGAGGGGAGTCACGCGCCCCCGGCGCCTCTGAATTGGGGGCTGGACCAGAATTTGGGAGAACGTGTGCCCTGAAGCCAGGAGAAGCTGGGGGCAAAGAGAAACTCTAGGGCCTGACCTGGCTGCGGCAGGGAGGGGGGGGTTGTCAGCCAGCAAGAGGCTGGGGGGAGGAAAGGGGGAGCAGGAGGAGGAGGCTGCAGGGCACACCATGGGGACTCTGACGATCCAGGCTGCCAGGGAGTCATGCAGAGCTTGGAAGCACCAAGGGAGAAGAGAGACACAATGTCATTGGGTTGGAAGCTCTCTGAGTTCAGGTGGGAAGGCTGCGGCCAGAGAGGGATGGGCAGTCTGCTCCGTCCCCAAGAGATGGGGTCCCAGAGATGGGAGCGGTGACCAGGGTTGGGATGGAGATAGAGCAGGAGGTGGGATGAGGCTGGGATTGAAGATGTAGGTGAACCTGTAACAGGCAGGTCTGGTGACCGAGTTGTTTGCGGGCAGGGTCTGGATTGGGGTTGTGTAGGACACAGCTGGTCAGGGCAATTCCCTGATCATAGGCATGGGACTGGAGGTGATGACTTCTGCACACAGGCCGGCCGGCCTGCAGAAGGTTCGGGGCATTGGGGAAAGGCTGGCAGCAAGGAAGAGGAGGAGGAGCCCAAAGAGGGAAGCTCTGGTGGCCAAGACATCCTGCGGGGGCCTAGAGGCTGGGGGGCTTGAGGGATCCCTCGGAAGTGAGTCAGGGGCCGGGCACCCGGAGGCCGACAAGGGGTCTGGAGGGGGCAGGATGTCGGAGTCAGGTTGCAGAGGTAGGTGCTGGAGCCAGGAAAGGGAAAGACGTCGGGGTCAGTTTTGGGAAAGTGTTGCAGACAGGTCTGAGGATGTTGGAAATGTGATTGGGCGGAGGAGGAGTTCCAGTTTAGGGGTCGATGTCGGAGCTGGGGTAGGAATGTCAAATCTCCTTTGGGTGAAAAAAGATCTAGTTTGAGTGGTGCTGACTTCTGCTGGAGGGAAATCGAAGGCCCCTGTTTTGAGAGGGAGGTGGAGTTTTCTTGGGGGGAGGAATGATGGAGCCAGTTCTAGGGGATGACGGAGCCATTTTGGAGATGAGGCCTATGGAGCCCAGCTTGGAAGATGAAAGAGAATCAGTATGTGGTGTGTGTGTGTGTGTGTGTGTGTGTGTGTGTAAGTGTATGTGGAGGGGCTGGCACCAATTGCCCGCAGCCACAGGGGTTCCAGGCAAGGGTTGCCATGGTGACTGCCTCCTGTGGGGATCGGGGACCATCGAGACTGGAGAGAGGCTAGGATGGTGTTTTGAGGAACAGGAGGCTTGAGAGACAATGGCTAAAGTCTAGAGGCTGAAGTCAGGGAGGAAAGAAGTGGGGTCACCACCAGCAAAGGAGAGGCTCGTGCCCACAGCCCAGCCAGCTCAGGGCCCCTTCAGCATCGGCCTCCTCCCAGTGCCCCCGTGCACCCCTACATCCAGTGCCCCGTCTTGACCCTGTCCCTAACCTGCTCCGACTCTGTCCCGGTTGAAAACAACCTATGTGTCTGGCCAGAAGAGGATGTGGGAACATCTGATACTTTACACATTTTGTCATAGTTGCACAGTGGAGTACAGTATGCAGCACTAATTAGAGCCACAGAGACAGGCATGGACAAATCTCACATGTAAAATGTGAGGAAAGAAAAAGCAAGTTGCAGGGGATACATGTAGTAAGACAGTGTTTATAGAGAGTTTGAAACCACACAAAGCAATGTGCTATTTCTGAGTACTAGTCTGGGTAGGCAAAGGGATGGCTTTCCTTGGGAGAGGGCTAGAGCGGCGGGATCAGGGAGGGGGGTGGGGCGCTTCAGTGCTTTTGCAACGCTTGAGTCTTTGTTCCCTGACCTGTGTCTAACCTGTGCACTCGGCGATGAAAGCAGAGTCCTAACCACTGGTGCGTGCTAAGGCACTTCAGTCGTGTCCAGCCCTTTGCGACCCTATGGACTGTAGCCTGTTAGGCTCCTCTGTCCATGGGATTCTCCAGGCATAACACTGGCGTGGGTTGCCACGCCCTCCTCTAGGGGATCTTCCCGACCCAGGGATCAAACCTGCATCACTCACATCTCCTGCGTTGTCAAGCGTGTTCTTTACCACTAGCGCCACCTGGGAAGCCCCCTAACCACTGGACCACCAGGGAATGCTCTGCAATGCTTATTTCTTTAGAAAACAAAAAACTGAACCCAAGAGAGCATATATTTGCATTAGATGCAGCTAGGATTGTAAGCACAAGGGTGTTTATTAAATTCGTTTTCTATACTTTTCTGAATGTTTGGACTATTTCATTGTTTTCAAAAGTGCCCTTCCGGAACTTCCCCAGCAGTTCAGCAATTAAGACTCTGCCTTCCAATGCAGGGGGTGTGGGTTCAATGCCTGGTTAGGGAACTGAGGTTCCACACGTGGCCAAAAGTTAAAACAAAGGAAAAAGAGCCCTTCACAACTCCCCAGTGCCCTCGGGAGAAAGCTCAGGCCCTGCCTTGTGACTTCTGAGGCCCTGCCTAGCCTGCTTCTTGCTGACCTCTCCAGTTTGACTTATCATTCTTCCTCCCCCACGAGAAATGAAGTCCTTGCCCCCTTCCTTTGTTTCCTGTTTGGCCCCCATTCATTCCCAGAGTGCCTGCCCTGGGAACTGAGGACACAGTGGTGACCCAGACAGTCCTGACTCAGCCCTCTCGGGCTCATAGCCCCATCCCCAGACAGTGATGACCCAGAGTGGGAATATCAAGGAGGGGAGCACCTGATTCAGCCTGGGTATCCTGGAGAGCTTCCTGGAGGCGGCAACATCTGAGCTGGGTCCCAAAGCCTGAATGGACCATGGAGAACAGAATTCCATGTAGAAGCAGATGTTGAAGCCCAGAGAAGCCTGGAGGAAGGAGGAAAATGTGGGATAGTGCTGATGAGGGATACAGCTGGCCGGCCTGAATTTTGTCCTGAGGGCACTGGGGAGCCATGGAGGGTTAAGAGAAGGGGAGGGGCGGGTTTGAGCCCTAACGAGGGCCTCAAAGGTGCACTGGAGGACTAGAGGCTGGAGATCAGGGAGGAGGCTGAAGCAGAGAAGAAGGAGGGGCTTGGACTAGGGTAGGAGCCATGAAGAGGGAGGAGACAGGGATGTAGATGGAATGGGCCGGACTCTGGAAGCTTCCAGCCCCACAGGGGCAGAGACTGGGTCTGCCTTGTCCACCGCTGTGTCCTCTGTGCCTGCACAGGGCTGGACTGATACAAATACCTAGTAAGTGTGTATGTGTGTGTGTGTAAACACGTGTGCATGTATGTGTGTGTGTGGTAAAATCTATACATCACTAAATTTACCACATTAGCCATTTTAAAGTGTATAGTTCAGTGGCATTTCATGTATTCACAAGGTTGGTCAAACATCACCACAAATTCCAGAACATCTCCATCCCTCTAAGAGGAAACCCTGTACCTATTAAGTGGTCAGGCCCCAGTCCCTTTCTCCCAGTCACTGGCAACCACTAATCTTTCTGTCTCTATGGATTTGCTTATTCTGGATCTTTCCCAGGAAAAGTTTGCTGGAGAAATGAATGAGGTAGAGGTAATAGGAGTACTGACTGGATGGGGAGGAGACGAAGGTGCCCGAGAGTGTGAACAGGATGGCTGGGTAGATGGTGAGGTGTGGTCTGGGTCCCCATACAGGAGGGGACCTTCCCCTCTCAGCCTGTTTTCTCCTGGAATAGGAGGGTCCCAGGGCAGGAGTGAGGTAGGGAAAGGGTCTGAAGGCCAGTGCTCTGGGGAAAGAACCCAGGATCTAGAATCGGACAGGCCTGGGTCTGGATCCCAGCTTTCTCCCTGAATCACCATGGGACGTTAGGCTCTTAAGAGCCTTAGTTTCCTCATCTGCAAAATGGGCATAGTGACAGTGCTCACCTCAAGAGGTTGTGCAGATTGCAGGGGTGTGTAAGTGCTCAGACCAGTGCTTGGCACACATGCTTCAAAATGCTTCAAATACACAAAGGTACTGTCATCAATGCCACCTGTCACCAACAATACCGATGGTCCATTTCCCCCCTCCCGCCCCCAGGTCCTCTCCTGTCAAAATGCCCATCCTGAAGAGTCTAGGGGTGGCAGACTCTAAGGTGCCCCGGGCAGGGACACTGCCTCTGAGGTCCTCTCGGAACCCCTTTGAGGAAGTCTCAGGACTGGAAGAAGAGGAGGCTGGGGAGCTGGGGGCTCTGCCCAATGGAACGTCATGTCGTCGCCGAGCCACCCTGGAGAAGCTGGCAGGCCTGTCCCCCTTCCGGCTGGGCAAAACCCCCGGCCGGCGGGCAGGCAGCCCCGGGGATGGGCAGCCTCGCTCTTTCCTGGGCCGGGTGCTGTCGCCAGGAATTCGCAGGAGCTCAGCAGACTTTGGCCTCCTGGCCAGGCTTCAGGGGATCCGAGCCCAGGGCGATGAGGAGGCAGCTGGAGAGGCTGCACGGAGACTGGCCTTCCTGAGACTGGGGCGCGGGCCCAAGCCCCGGCGGGCATCACTGGCTGAGAGGGTGGTGCCCGCAGGTGAGGCTGCTCCCGAGCCCCCGCCCAAGGTCCCAGAGCCCCCGAAGGTGAAAGAGCCCTTGTCAGGTGAGCTGGGAGCCCTGCCCAGACCTGGGAGAATCACAGGGTCTCTACCTGTGACATCATTGCCATTCACATCTCCAATTTCCATCCGCCCACCTCCATGGACAGGGCCAGCCCGTCCCTCCTGCGGTCCTAATCTCCATCCTCAAGCTCCAGCTTCAGCCCCATCTCCACCCCCAGCCCCAATCTGTCCCTTTCTCCACCTGCCGCCTTTGACCTTGCCCTGTCCAAAGACAATCAAATCACTAACTCTGGCCTCATCTCCTCCAACCCCCTCCCTGTCTCCAGTTTCAATCCTCTTTCCCTTACTCCTCTCAAATTCAGCCTCAATCCCATCTCCTTTCAAAGTATCCACATTTGACCTTGACCTTAAACCCCTCCCTAACCTCCACAGTCCACCCCATTCTCATCCTTAGCCCTAATTCTGGCCCCAAACTCCAACCCCCACCTCAACCTACTCCTTCACCAATCTCTTCTTTTCTTCCATCCCACTCTGAACCCCAACCCTAACCACTTCAATCCTAAACTCCCAGCCCCAGCCTCCACCTTCAACTTCATCCCTACTTCCACTTACGCCCAAGCTTCATCTTCAAGCTCAGGACCATGCCTAATGTCTCCCTCCATCTCCCGGCTACATCCCCCTAAACCCACCTCCACCTGGGTTAGTTTCCTGTTAGTACACAAACTGGCTGACTTAAGACAGCAGACATTTATTTTCTTGCAGTTGAAGAGGTCTGAAATCAAGGTGTTGGCAGGGCCATGCCCACTCTGAGACCTGTCTGGTCTCTGCCAACTTCTGGCACTTCGCTGGGCATTTCTAGCTTTGTAGCTGCATCCCTCCTGCCTTCCATCCGCCTGTGGCCTTCTCTATCTTCACATCATGTTCTTCTCTGTGCCTGTCACTCTTGGTGTCCAAATTTCCCTTCTTATAAAGACAATAGTCACACTGGATCAGGGCCCACCCTGTGATCCCATTTTAACTTGATGACCTCTGCAAATGGCTTATTTCCAAATAAGATCCCATTCTGAGGTATTAAGGGTTAGGCCTTCACATATCTTTTTTTTTTTTTTTTTTGAGGTGGGGGGGACAAACACAATTCAACTCGTAATGCCACTCTAGCTGTATCCTCAACCATAGTAGTACCCCAAACCCCAGTCTTCCTCAGTGCCTTTCTGGTTTCCAGTCACACTTATTCCAACCCCATCATCTGTCTCCACCCTGAGACACAACCACATGCTTATTCTCAACCCATCCCTTTTTCCAAATGCCGTCTTTAACCTGAGAGCTATGCCCAACACCATGACAACTGCCAAGCAGTCCAGTCCCGTGCTGTGGCCCGTTCCTTTCCTCTCATCCCACCCTCAGTCCCGTCCCTGTGTGCAATCCTTTCCCCTCTTCCATCTCACTCCCAACCCCCAACCCCAGGTCTATCTCAGTGTCCCCCTTCAACCCCACTCACCTCCCCAACTTCCTCATTCAGTTCTAGTCAGATTCCCAGCCCCCATTTTCAACCTTAACCCAAACTCAACCTCTCAGTCCCAATCCTAACCCCCAACCTCCAACTTCAACTCTCCACATTCCTAACCCCAGCTCATCTCCAGACTTCTTCAAACTCACCTCCTCCTTTCCCTCCTCAGCTTCCACCTAAACTCATCTCCAACCCCATCCTTACCCCAAAGCCCAGACATCATCCTCAATTCCTTTCCCACCTCCCTCTTTAGATTTCCAGTACCAACCTCACTCTCATCCTAAACTACCGCATCCCAACCCCCACCTTCACCCCATCCTCATCTCCAGCCTTAACCCTGACACCCCACCCCAACCCCAACCCTGTTCCAAACCCCACCTTCATCCAGCCCACCTCCAGCCCTGTCTCTATTCCCCAACCCCCACCCCGGCCTCCCCCCCACGGACAGCCGTTGTTGCTCCAGCACTGGAATCCCCTTTCTTCATCCTCTGATGCCTTCCACATCCTGCATCAGAGGCTATTTCAGCCTGGCGCCCTAGGGACTGGGAGGGCACTGCAGGGAGGTGCAAAGCGGGTGAGTGGAGCCCCCGCCTTCTGGAAACGGATGGGCAGAAATAGCACTGGCCAGGAAATAGTTTCTCTGCCAGGGAGGAAGGGGAGTGGGGGGAGGTGTTGGGGGTAACCCTGGGCCACTGGGACCCTGCTTCTGCTTTCACTCAGAGGCCTCTCAACCCCTCAGAGGACTCCCCTCTCCTGGGGGGGTGTGAAATCACCAGAGAGCCAGGTCACCCCCACAGTTGTCTGCACCCCAAAAGCCCCACCTCTGGTCCTCACATCCTCCTCCCACCTCCAAGCCCCCATCTCTCCCGTCACCTGGATCGAACTGTCCTCCTTCAGCCTCTCCACTTTCCCTGATGCCTTTTTAAAAAATTTTCATGCACTTTTTCTATCCTATCTGCCCTCAGTTCCCCTGACCCGTCCCCATATCTTAACCCACCACCTGATACTCTCTTCCCAGCCCTGACCCCTTACCCCAAGCCCTAATCCTTTCCTTCTTCCTCAACCCCTACCCTCATCTTATCCTCTTCCTAATTAGACACCCTCTAGTCTTTTGACCTCCTTCCCATATGCAGACTCCCTCTCCCATCACCAACCCCCCTCTTCCCTCCCCAACCCTCTCCTGTCTCCTCCGTTTCCTGACTCTGTCTTTCCCTCCTTCATCCTCTCTCCTCCATCCTCCCCGCCCCAAGTCCTGACCCCTCTCCACACGCTCTCCATTCTCCTCACCTTCCTCCCTTGACCTCCTCCTCCACTCCTGCCCCCATCCCCTCACCACCCCTAACTTTCTCCCCCTCGCCTCCCACCTTTTCACATTCTTCGCCCCCTTCCGCCCCGTTTTCCAGCCCCTGATCGTCCGCTTTGCGCCCACAGTGTTGGAGATCCTGAGCTTGATCCAGCAGCGTGAGCTCGCGCGGGCCGACGAGCACATCTTGGAGCTAGAGGCCGAAGAGCTGGCGTCGTCGGGGGGCGGCGCGCCCGGGCCGCCCAAGGCCGAGGGCGCGGGCGGCGGCCGCCGGGCGCGGGACGTGGCTCTGCTCTACGAGGCCCTGCAGCGCGAGATGTGGGCGCTGGTGCGCGAGACGCTGGCGGGCCCCGGGCTGGGCGCGGGCGCTGGGGCGGGCGCCGTGGCGCAGCTGGGCCAGGTGTTGGTGCAGGAGGAGGCGGCCGACGGGCGCCGGGGACCCGAGGCTGCCCGCAAGCTGCGCGCCCGCTGGGCCGAGGCGGTGGCGCGCGCGGCCCGGGAGCGCCTGGAGGCGGCGGCGCCCGGGGCGCCCGGGGGCCTGGCCGGGCAGCTGGAGGCGCTGCGGGGACGGCTGCTGGAGGACATGGGCGTCGTGCGGGGCCGCCTGGCGCCCTCCTACCCAGCCGGCCTGGGCGCCTTCGGTATCTACCTGCGCGGCTACCACGGCGCGCTGGCCGAGTGGATCGGGGCCGCCGCCCGCCGGAGGCTGCCGCTGGCCGACCGCTACGCGCTGCTGCACTGGCACAACCAGGTGTACCCCAGGTGAGCTGGGGGCCAGCCGTCAGCTGCCCCGAAGTCGCGTGCGACGCCCCTCCCTCCACCCGGTCCAATCCCGGCCTCTTCAGACTCTAAGGACCCTGGACTTTCAATCCTAGAACTTGAACATCTTTGACCCTTCCAGACTCGGCACTGGTGACATTTACAATCCGAGAATCTTCTGGCTCAGCAAGCTTTCCACGCTAGAACTCGGCAACAGGAAGCTTTCAGATCCTAGAACCTTAGTACCAGCCAGGAACCTTAGAATCCTCAACATTTGCACTCTTAGAATGTTAGCACTGCCCACCCTTCCAATCCGAGAATTTTAGCACCAGTGACCCTTTTCCTCCTGAAATCTTGGCACTGTTGACCCTTAGAATTCTAGAACCCATACAGCGCTCTAGCCTTCACAGTGCTCTAGCCTAGGGCACTAGCACTGATGACTCTTCCAATCTTAGAACTTTAGAATTGATGACATTTTCAATTCTAGAACCTTGGCACTGATGAGCCTTTGAGTCCTATACCTTAGTGGTTTTTTTTTTTTTTTGTCTGCCATGTAAGGCTGTGGGATCTTAAATCCCTGACCAGGGACTGAACCTGCCCTCAGCAGTGAAAGCTCAGAGTCCTAACCACTAGACCAGCAGGAAATTCCCCATCCCCTCTTTGGATCCTAGAACTTTGACACTGTTGATCCCTCACAGTTTTAGCCCCTTGAATTCTATAATCTTAGCATCTAGAACCTGAGTACCATTGACACTTCCAGTCCTAGAATTTTATAACCATCAAGCCTTTGGACCTTAAAACATTCCATTCTTGTGGCCAGAGGATGGAATACCATGATTAGTAATAACTGGGTCACTATGGGCTCCAGGGAAAAGGGATCAGCCACACCCAAACCACACATTGGACGGAGAGGGAGTGGGTGGTTCCTCGTCAAAATCAGGGTGCTGACACCAGAAGAATAGTAAGGCAACAGTTACCCCCAACCCACATCCCATCTGTTCATGCCAACCGTCAGAGGGGGAGGCAGAATAGGGAGTCTGGGATGTCGAGATGTTAAGTCTGACTTGCAGGGAGATGGGGCTTCTGGCTGAGGGGATGCAATGAGCCAAAGGCTGATGTGTGTGGGGGTGGTAGGAAAGTGTGAGGAGAGTGGTGGCAAGGCACAGGCCAGGGCATGCAGAAGGGCAGAAGCCAGGAGTGAGGGCTGATGGGGGAGGCCTACAAGGCGAGGCCATAGGGACTAGGGCTGGAGGTGGAAGGAAGCTTCTGTCCTGTGAACCTCTGGTGGGTGAGACCTTGCGTGCCAAATTGTCACGTCTGGACTTGATCCCTCCAAGTCTTGCCCGGACACCATCCATCAGGGAGCTGACTCAGAGAGCTGGAGCCAAGGGAGCAACAATTCCAGAGACTTCCTTAGAGGGATGAGCAAAGCTGGCCCCAAGGGAGGAAGGGAGTGGCTCGGGTCACAAACACAGAGAGGGTGAAGGGATGGGTGTGGGGAGGGTTCCAGTTGTCCAGCTCCAGCTCTCACAGACCCCCTGTCTCTTTCCCCCACCCCTAGAGAGGTCCTAGGTCTGGTGGACATGGTTGCTCTGGAGAACGGGGAGCTGGGGCCCCTTCTGTCGCCCGGCACCCTTCGTGGCTTGGAGGATGAATGCGTCACAGACGTGAAGGTACCCAGAACTTGGCGTTGGCGATCAGGAAGCGGGAGGCACTCTGTAGAGAGGGAGGGGTTACACTGGGCTTGAGGGGCCTCTCCCCCACCCCTTTCCCTATTTCCGTCTCCCTTTTCCCTTTATGGACTTCTGAGTTTTGTCCAAAAGAGAGAAATTAAGCCCATACTGATCAATTTTGTCTCATGTTCAGTGTATCTCAAGCACCTAGCCGGCCATAGGGACACTCAGTAAAGGTTCAATATATTCAGACACTTCAAATTTTACAGCAAGACAGAGTCAGTCACAGGACCTCAGCTCACAGACCCAAGGATTCACAGAAAGAGGGCATCAAAACATTTTTGCATATAAACAGGGCTGATAGTAAATAAACATGCTTAATAACTGGCCAGACACAGTTACCTTTAAGCAGAATGGCCCTTCTGTAAACACCCATCCCTGCCACGGCTGTGTTTCTGGTCTAAAAGCCAGTCCTGCCTCAGCCACAGAAATCAGAATCTTTGCAACTCTAATTCTAGTTGCAATTCTGATTCTAATTAGTTCGATTCTAAACTTGAAGTTTTGAAATTTAGGCTAGAACAAGTCTAGATTCTCAGACTCACTGAACTGAAGACAGCGCAGAACTAGAGAATCAGAGATGTATAAACCTGAGAACCTCAGATTCTTGGAATTCTTGACTCACAGAATTTGGAAACCCTGAGCAAACTGTTTTGTGGAACCTGCCAACAGAGTCTTGGAATCATCAGATAATGAGAGAATAAACCCTCAAGCCCTCTGGTTATTAGATGGAGGTGCCTTAAAACCACAGACTCTTTAATATCAGGCGCCAAATTGTAGGCTTAGGAATGGAAAAGGCTGGGGCAGTTTTCTGGGCAAGCCCCTCTCTGGTGTTACCTTGACGAGTTCACAGGTAGAGTCCAGACCTGCTGGGGCCTAAGGTATGGGGATGGTGGTGGGAGAGGCTCCAGGGGTTCTGACTCCTGTCTCTACCCTCCTCCAGGCTCAGACGCGGGCAGCCCTGCTTCGAGTGCTGCAGGAGGACGGGGAGCACTGGGGGAGCACGGAAGACTGGTCCAGCAACCTGGCCCAGGACGTGTGTGAGGTACGTGGCGGGGAAGAGGAGGGAGAATCAGGCGGGGTGGGAGACTGGGACCTGGCACCCTCCTCACCCCCTCCTCACCCGCCGGACCACACAGCTGCTGGAAGAGCACACAGAGCGAGCGCCCCACATCAGCCAGGAGTTTGGGGAGCGGATGGCCCACTGCTGCCTAGGAGGGCTGGCAGAGTTTCTGCAGAGGTACGGAGGACTGGGGGTGGGGGGTGGGCACCTGGACCCGGGATCCAACAGAGAGAGGACAGATGAAAGTGAATCAAGATGGTCAGGGGCACCTCTGTAGGGATCACAGGTTTTGCAGGGCTGACTGCCCAGCCAGGGACCCTTATCCTGCGGTGCTCCATCTGTCTGCCATTTCCCCTTTCTCCTCCCACCAGCTTCCAGCAGCGTGTGGAGCGATTCCATGACAACCCAGGAGTCCGCGAGCTGCCACCCGACACCTACATCAGCAGGACCATCTCCCTGGTCAACTGTGGCCCCCCTCTGAGGTGAGAGCATCCACAGGGTATGGGGGAGACGCCAGTCCAGGGTGACAAGCTCAACTGGGGTGCCTGGATCCTGGGTGGGGGCTGCACACCTGGCCCTGAGAGGCACATACAGGGGACCCGAGAATCCTAAACCCTGGGAGTCCTAGAAAGAACCACAGCATCACTAGATAACAGAGTAATGAAAACCTGGGGGTGTTAGAATTACAGGAACCTAGAAGCCAGACTCTAGGAATTACATTATTTTTTTTGAATGTTTTTATCTTACTTGTATAGTTGATTTACAATGTTGTGTTAATTTCTTCTGTACAGCAAAGTGATTCAGTTATATTACTTCCCTTTTTATTGACTTATTTTTAACTGAATTTTTAAAATCGGGAGTGCATTCAAGATACAATAGGGCATACAATGAAAAGCTTCCCTCTGTTACCCTCTGGTCCAGTTATTATTAATGTCTCCCATATCTTTGCAGGGGTATTTGATATATTTACTAGTAAATATGTATATATATGCAGAGGCACACTTCATGCATATGTATAGATATGCATGCATATGCATATTTCATACATACACAAGTAAATATATTACTATGTGCATACATATTATTCCTTCTCTTACAAAAAAAAAAAAAGAAATACAGGAACTTCCCTGGCAGTTAAGACTCTGTGCTTCCACTGCAGGGGACAAAGTTTCGATCCCTGGTGGGGAACTAAGATCCCACATGCACATGCCTTGCATCATAGCCAAAAAAAAGGGGGGGATGACTCCCCAAAAATACAAATGGTATAATATTGAACACACTCTGTCCTTTTCCCTTTTACACCTTGGCGGTCTTTCTGTGAGCACCTGAAGAGTTCCCACATTCCTCTTTCATATCTGAACTGTTGCCCACTGTCTGGATCTGCCATCTTCCATTTAATCTGTCCGCCGTGGGTGGACAGTGGCCTCCACTCTTTGGTACAGAAAAACTTGGCACAAGTGTGGAGACTCAGGGAAATATGCTCTCAGTAGGGGGTCTGCTGGAATTTGGGCAGAAAGTGCCAAGTGCCCTCCAAACCAGGTTATTCTCCTTTCAGTGATGGAAATGGTCATCAATTGTTACAATGACAGAAAATGAGAAAGGTAGAATTTTAGAATGATAGTCCTTTAGAATCACAGACTTTTAGGATGGAGGCGTCCCCACTCTCACCCAGAAAGCACCAAAAGAAACAGACCCAGAGAGACTGCTTCCTGCCCACTACATCCCCCTAGACTCCCAGACAGGCCACAGAGCCCCCCAGATCCCCAACCCTCCAGACATCCCCTGGTATTTCTCACCCCAGGCCCTCCCCAGAGCCCCTGACTTCCGCCAGCTCCCCCTCTCACCTGTCACCCCTGTGACCCACAAAATAGGGTCCGTCTAAGGGGAGACAGGTCCAGACAGTTGGGCTGAGATGTTGGGGTCCATGACTTTTGGTGCCATGGATCCCCGCAGGGCTCTGGCGGAGCGCCTGGCCCGAGTAGGGCCCCCTGAGAGTGAGCCGGCCCGGGAAGCGGCAGCCAGCGCTCTGGACCGTGTGATCCGACTCTGCCACCGCGTCCTGACTGACCTACTGTTCCAGGAGCTGCAGGTGAGAGGCGGTGGGCTGGGGTGGGGCCAGGGTAAGGGGGTGCCCCCATCTCATCCTGCAGCTCCTTTCAGCCCATGACTCAGTGTTTGGGAAGCAGAGGGGGTGGGGTGGGGAAACAGCTATATCTGGGTGGTTTAGGGGGGTGGGGGGTGCAGGAAGGAAGAGGCAGGAGGACATGGTCAGGGGGAGGACAGCCATCAGTGGGAAGGGGCCTTGGGACTGGTGGAGCTCCTCCTCACTGAGGTCCCCCCCAATCCCTGCCCAGCCTCCCCTAGTCCCAAGAGCCCCATTTACGCATCTCTGGGCTCCTGCACATGCACAGAGGGGATGAGGTTCAGAGACAGGAGTCGGGGGCTGGTGGGGACACCGGGGAACAGAACTGACAGCTGTGTGTGCCTCTGGTTGTAATTTGTGTTCAGTCCACGCTGTGTATCAGGCTGTGTCCCGCTTCTGCTTAGAGCCCTCCATGACTCCCAGCTCACTCTGGGCAAAGGCCAAGGTCCTCGCTGTGGCCCCCCAAGGGCCTGGAGGGTCTGCCCGTTCCCTCCCTGACCTCATCTCCTCCCGCTTCCCTCCTTGCTTATTCCACTGCAGGACAGCCACCCGCCAGCCGCTCCTTAATGTGTCAGACGCGTTCCAACCTCAGTGCCTTTGCACCTGCCGGTCCCTCTGCCTGGACTTCTCGTCCCTCAATAGCCCCAGAGCTCCCTCTCTCACCTCTTTCAAGTTTTGACTCAAATGTCGCCTTCTCAGAAGGACCTCCTCTGACTGTCCTATTTAAAATAGAAGCCCCTTGAGACTCCCCCTCCCCCCGGCCCTGGCTCTGTTTGTCTCCAAAGCACTTATCACTACCTGCCATGCTATATCCTTTGCTTTTTTTTTTCCCCCAATCTGTCTCCTCCCACTGGAATGTTAGCTTCTCAAGGGCAAGGATTTGTTGGAATGCTTCTAAAATAACTTTCTTGTAATGGAATATTTCAAACATACACAAAAGTCGGCAGAATGACCTCCCGTGGACCAGCTCCAGCAAGTATCAACTCCACCTCTCCCCCCACCTCTCCTGCCCACTGGTTTCTTTTAAAGCACATCCTTGACATCCTGTCATCATCCATCAGCACTTCAACCTGTATCTCCAAAAAGATAAGGAATCCGGCCTTTTTAAACAAACATAATTCACTGCCACTCTCCTACCTAACAAATGGAACAATCAGTCCTTAATATCATCACATATTAGATCAGAATTCAGATTCCCCCCAATGGCTTATGATGATCATGCGCTTGGAGTTTTGTTTATCTCATTTTGCACTGTGTTCCCAAGAGTTATCTGATGTGTTCCCAGTGATCCACACAGGGCTGGGCCATGCAGGAAAGGCTCAGAGAATGTTTGTTGAATGACCCAATGGACAATGACCAAACGGGAATGAAAGTAAGTGAGTGTGGTGGGGGAATTAGGTACAGTCTTTATTCCAGGCCTGGCAGTACCACTTGCAGGTAGCGGGTCTTGGGCAAATGGCTTTCCCCTTGGGGTCTCTGTTTGCTCATCTGGAAAATGAGCACAGCCTTCTCAGATGGCTGTGAGGAAGCAATGGGCTTGTGGCCATAAAGTGTTTAGCTCGAGTCCTGGCTCTCGAGTACTGACCAATGTCATCTTCGTAAATGTACAGAGTTCAGAGCAACAGCAACACTTCCGGAGTCGAGTGCTATACTAACAGCGTCAGCTCGTTTGATTCACACCTGCTTTCTAACAAAAGCCCACAGGCCTCAGTTTTGGAGGATCAGAAAACTGGGCTACTGTGGGATGAAAGAGCAGGAAGGGGGTGCAGGGCTGAATGGAATAGGGTACTGCTTCGGGCCCCCATGGACACCAATCTCAAAGGTGTCTGGGGACCGCCAGCTCCCAGTGTCCATCCAACAGCATCATCTCCCCTTGCTCCTCCCAGCCTCCATCTCAGGGAGAGACCCACTCCCCATCCCACCTCTGGGATCTAGATGCCGCCCTCCCTCCCCTGACAGGTGACCACCCACTACATCCTATGCATCTACTACCTGTATTCTCATTGCCTCCTCACCCCTTCCCCCTCTTTCCAGACCCCCCATTTCTGCCTCAGTCTTGCCCCCTCCCAGCCATCTCGGTGAAGCACAAAGCTGATCTGCTCCCTCTCCTGCTCAGAACCTTCCATGGCTCCCCAGTACCCTCAGGAGAAATCTGGAGATCCTCACATGGCCCAGGAGGCTTCTGTGCTCTGTTCCGTTCACCTGACCAGCCCCACCTGTCCACTGGGCAGTCATACACGACCTTCCCCCTCCTTGCCAACCCTAACTCCTTTTCCTGCTTAGACTGGCCCTTAGCTTGGTTTAACGCTCTGCTGCCTCTTAAGTAATTATTTTTGAACAAAGGTTTCCCAATTTTCACTTTGCATTGGGCCTGTGAATTATCTAGATGGTTTTGCCAGCCACACTGACCTTTCTGGCCCTCTGATCTGCAGGCCCATCTGAAATCTGAATCTTTCTCACACTGGCTTTCCCCTGGATTCACCCACTCCCCCTGCCACTCTTCACTTGGCTAACAGTGACCATCTACTGGACCTCAGCTCTGGGGACCCCTCCTCGAGGAAGCCCTCCTTGACTCTCTATGCTGACTCAGCCATTCCTCTCTGTTTTTCCTAACCCCCTGGGAATGGGTCGGTCTCCCCTTCTGGCCTGTGAGCCCCCAGGGAGGCAGGGCTGGACTGTCTCTGGCACTGCTGTGTCCTCAGCACTGTGCAGGAGCAGAGTTTGGGGAACAAATATTGACTTGCTAAGTGAAGAAAGAGGGTGGTGGAAAGGAGGCGAGCCTCAAACCTCTACCCACTCTGTCCCACCCAGCCGCACTTTAGCAAGCTGATGCGCAGGAAGTGGCTGAGCAGCTCGGAGGCCCTGGATGGCATCGTGGGCACGCTGGGCGCTAAGGCCCTCGCACTGCGCAGAATGCAGGACGAGCCTTACCAGGTGCATCTGCTTTGGCGGTGGAGGGGTGCGGGGTGGAACCCGGGAGGCCGGGGGGCGAGGGGCAGAGGGGAGCCAGAGTGCTCGGCTGGGAGAGACCTCTTCTAGGTGGGGAGCAACTCTATTAGGGAGAGATAGGTGGCGCTCAATCTGGGGTCTGCGCGGAGGGTGCCCACGGGTATGGGGTGTAGAGGGGGAGGGGGTTGCCGGCAGGGTTGGGGCCACTGGGAGGTGGAGCTCCGGAGAAAGCCGAGAGGGCTGGGATGGGGCATCCTTTGGGGGCCGGTGGGTTCGCGGGCTGATTAGGGAGCAGGACAGGGGTTCCCCAATAAGGAGTCAGGAGGACTGCCGGTGGACTGGGGGCAGGGAGGGGTTCCCGTTGGGTACCCGGAGTGGGCGCGGGCGGGTGGGAAGCTGGGAGAGAGGGTCATCGGCGGCTCACACCCCCTCGCGGCTTCCCCGGTCCCCAGGCACTGGTGGCCGAGCTGCACCGGCGGGCGCTCGTCGAGTACGTGCGGCCTCTGTTCCGCGGGCGCCTGCGCTGTGGTTCCGCGCGGACCCGCAGCCGCGTGGCCGGGAGGCTCCGGGAGGACGCCGCGCAGCTGGAGAGGCTGTTCCGACGGCTGGTAAGTGCGGTCAGAGGGGGGTGGGGTGGGGGGGGGGGCTCTGAAACCAGGAAAACCTTGGCTTCCGGGAATCCGGGGACTCGATAGCCGGGGGCGGGGGCTTAGAATGAGACCCTCACACAACTTGTACCCAACTGTAACACTCTGATCTCTGCCCTCTACGGGTATAAAGTCGGCTTTCTCCCAGCGGTGAGAGCTCACTCTGGGCTCAAATGAGAAAAGTGGTCCCCTATGCGTTGTTGTGGCGATTAGATCAGTTAAAGGGGCTTAGGACCTGGAATCCCGAACATTACCTATTATTATTACGAGCACAGAGAGTCGCTAAATGCAATAGAAACTCAGAACTTGAGCGCTCCCAAATCCAAGCTTTTAAAATCAGCAAATCTTATTTGTACCCAGTTATAATCAGCAAGACCGGAAGGGTCTCACTCAGGCTATCCCGGGAGTTTCTAACCTAGAGTCCTTGGAATTTTCTTGTTAATTTGTGGGGAGACAACTGTAGATTCACATGTGGTTATAAGAAAGAGTGCAGAGAGATCTCTGGCATACTTTGTCCAGTTTCCCCCAATGGTAACATTTTGTCCCTGAGCCCCAAATTATCTACAAACAGTAGATTATATTACGGATTTTCCTTCAAATTTCCAAAGGTCCCAGATAATCTCTGACTACAGCCCACCCTCTGCCTGGTTTTACCGACGAGAAAACGGCGGGACCTCGGGAGAGGGTGGTTTCGAGAGGGTAAACGTTGACTGGGGGCGAGGGTGTGAGCCCGGGGTCCTCTCTTATCTGCAGGAGTCCCAGGCCTCGTGGCTGGACGCCGTGGTGCCCCGTTTGGCCGAAGTTCTCCGCCTGGAAGACACGCCGAGCATCCAGATGGAGGTGGGGGTGCTGGTGCGGGACTACCCGGACATCAGGTGAGATTCCCCACCCCCCACGGCCGCCCCGTCCCTTTCTGCGGGCGCTGCCGCCGGCGGGGCCGAGGTCTCCCGCGAGCCCTGGCATATCCGTCCGTGCGTTTCCTGCCTCTTGGGCGAGGGCGGGAGGCGGCGAGCGTGTCTGACGGCCGTTTCCTGCTGGAAACCAGGGCATTATTAATACGATTTCCCTCCTTCTGCCGCCGCCGTCGCTGCCGCCGCCGCCACCAGGGCTCACAAACAAACAAGCAGTCACAGGAAGCCCGGGGCAGGGGGGGCGCGGGGCCGCCCGGCCGGCAGGAAGGGCCGGCCCATCAGTTGAGCCGCGGGGGACTCGGGGACACGCAGGGGCGCACGGGCGCACACGCACTGGGATAGTGGCAGGGGCCGTTCAGGTCCTGATGGACTCTTTCCTTTCTCTGTGATCCTCTCTGAGCCTCAGTCTCCTCCTCTGATCCATGGGGACAATAAATAGTTCTCTTTTCAAATGATTAGCGGGGAATGATTTACCATCATCCGTGGTGACAGCAGTAACAACACCAGTTCTTGACTAGTGAGTCCTTAGGTCAGACCTAAAACAGCGTTCCACACACCCACTCTATAAGTAAGAGTTATTTTAGAATGAAAGCTATTTTAGAAATTCTTTGCAGGTAAAAGGCAAGCACTGTTCTGAGAGATTAGCACCATTGGAGGCAGGCAGAGATTAACTAGCTGACCCCAAATGTCACAGCCAGCCAGCAGCAAAGTTTGGACTTGAACCCAGGCAGCAGGCGCTAAGCTGGTACTCCTGACCACTACACTACACTGCCACTTGCACAAGGTGGTGGTGGCAGTGTCCTACAGCGTTGGTCCAGCAGACAGACGTTCTGTATTCAGACATTCTGTATTCACGCGCCACAGGACCCTGGAGTACGGCATCATCTGGGTTTAGGGTCAGGACTTGGGGCTGAAGGGAAGGGCTCTGGAACTGATTCAGGATGGATAGTTGTGGTTGTGAGGTGTGGGATTTGTATCCTTGGGAAACCAGAGCATCCCAGAGTTGCACGGCAGTAGGGGTCCCAGCATTCCTGCTGGACTGGGGTTTCTGAACTTGAATCTGAACTTGGATATACAGCCCACCAGCAGCTATCCAAGTTTGAAAGGTCTCCAGTTGGCCTGGGAGGAGGGGTTCCAGAGCTGGAGCTCGGAGTGCCACGTTTTGCAGCTCACTTGAGCTGGAAGTTTCTTGAGTCCCATTTTAGATGAGTGTTTGGGAGCTACAGGGATTTCGAATGTGGAATGTGGACAGGTGAAGATGCTGAGCTGGATTGAAGGGGGTGGTAAAGACCCCGGAACTTTGTTTGAAATGAAAGTTCTGGAAAGGAATGTTGGGTGCAGGATATTGAATTGAAATATGGTGATTCTAGAGTTAAGTTTTGGATTCGGGATCTGGAGCTGAGATGGGGTGAAGGGAAGGTTCCGATGTGTTACCTTTAGGAGCGAGGGTTGTGGAATAGAGTTAGTTTTGAGCACAGAGTTTCTGGTGGGTGTGAGGGTCCCCAAGGTGAATTTGGAGTTCTGGGGGAGAATTTTGCTTGATAACAGTTTCAGGAATGGGCTAGTGGTGAAGTGAGTGTTCTGAGGTTGAATCTGGACGAGAGTCCAAACAGCAGTGGTGGAGAATATTCTAGACCGGGTGTTGGGGTGAGGTGAGGGTTAGGATAGGGATGGGGGTGAGCACTTCCAGGCTAGATCTGAGTGGTGATGAGGAGTTGTGTGAGATGAAAGTGAAGATGAAGTTAAGGATTGCTACAGAGTCCAGAGCTGAAACAGGCATGAGTAGCAGGATGGTCATTCAGGAATGGTCTGAGCTCAGCTAGGGGTGAAGATGGAAGGTTATTTTAATCAAGAGCTGAGATGGGATGAAAAGGAAGATTCTTGTGCTGGTTTTGGAGGTGAGGGCTCTGGAATCCACTGTGAGTAGGGGGATTTGGAACTAGTTGGGAGGGAAGTTCTGGAGGGGGGCTGGTGGGATCTAGGGGAGCTGGTGGGAAGGACATGATCTAGAGGGGCTGGTGGGGAGGGAAGATCTGAGGAGAACTGATATGGAGGAGGAATCTGGAGAGAGCAAAGGGGCTCCAGAGCTAAGACAAGTTCTGGAAGAGACGGCTGGTGGGGTGGGTGTCCCAGGCAGGCTGGGAGTGTATCTGGAGGCCCCCATGCACCTGTCCCCTCCTCCACCCCCAGGCAGAAGCACGTGGCAACGCTCCTTGACATCCGTGGTCTGCGCCACACAGCCGCCCGCCAGGAGATCCTGGCGGTGACCCGGGACCTGGAACTCTGCGAGGTAGCAGCCCTGTCCCCCCCTCGGGACCGTGCCTTCTTCGCAGACATCCCCGTGCCCCGGCCACCTATCTGCCTCAGCCTCCCTCTCTTCCTGGGCCGCCTCCTCTCCCCGCTGGCCTGCTTGCCCTGGCCTCGGCCTCCGTCTCCTTCTCCATTACGGCGGCCCCAGGTCTGACGCTGAGACTCTCCCAACCCCGCCTCGGTGCCCCCATCTTTGCTGCTGACAGACCATCCCCCCCTCCACCGACCCCAACTCCCAGCCTGGCACCACAGACCCTTGGGCTGGCAAGAACCTTAGCGGTCTTCTCCCCTCCCCCCAAACTCCCTGTTCCGAGGAGAAACCCGCTAGAAGGAGCAAGGAGTTCCCAAGGCCATGAAGCCCGTTCCCAGCACCACCTCCCCAGCCCAGTGTGGGGTGGGTGGCGTTTTGGAAGGCTGTACACAAATATCCCAGGCCCCCCCTTTCCCCTCACCTCAAGGTCTGGCCTCAATCCAATGTATTAAGGAACGTACGATACTTAGAATAAAGAGGTTTGTATTTAACACAAGGAAGGGCTGAGTCCCCAGTGTGTGGGGGGAGGAAGGACCGGGGGCAGGGCCCAGGGCCAAGGGCTTCTCACACACCCAAGGCCGGGCTAGGGTCCAACTCCTGGGCAGAGCGGTGGAGGCCGCCGGAGGCCCTGCAGGACAGGGGCAGCCGTGCCGCCCCATTTACACCAAGTCCCCGAGGCTGCGTGACTCTACGGCAGGCCCTCGGCCTCTTTGGCCAGCGACCCTCATTTTGTCCATCCCCAAATGCCTTCTCTCCTGGGCCCAGTGGTTCCACCTTGGCACACCCCCCCACCCCCATCCTCAGGCGGGAAGCGGTATCTAGAGAGGAAGGAGGTTGGGGGCAGGGCTGGCGGCATCCAGGGCGCCCTCCTGGGTTGACGCAGGAAAATCTCAGGGTGGGAAAAATTCCAGGCTGTCACCCCCAGCCCTGCCACCGGATCCTAGTCCCCACGGAGACCTTGAGGTCACCTCCTTGCTGACCCCTGCCCCTCCGGCCCAGTTGGACAGGCTATGATGGATGCTTCCTGGCATGGTTTTTTTTTTTCTTTCTGCAAAGTCGGAAGGAGGAGGCAGCCAGGGGTCAGAGTGGAGGCTGGGGTTGGAACCTCACGCACATTTGAACTCACGTTTGACGTCTGACGGTCTCTTGGAGCCCCGGGGCTGTGTGACGCCAGGCAGGAAGCTGACCCTCTCTGGGCTGTAGTTCCTTGTCCCTCTCTGAGGAACTGCTTAACCTCTCTTTGCCCAGGACGAGGTGAGATGTCCAGAGGATATATGCCCCTCACTTCACATCCTAAAGTGATACTTTCAATGTCATGGATATACAAGTGGGGAGTTGAGGAATGAACCGGCTGCAGTTTGTGGGCATTTAATGAGAGATGTATTCCTCTCAGTTTGGCAGGATTGTTTTTCAAGATTTTGGTGCGCCACTTAAAAATGGCTGTATTGAAATAGAATTTACACAGCAGAGAATTAATCCATTTAAGGTGCACAGTTCAGTGCAGTCACCTCTGCAGTCAATTTTGGGAACATTTCATCCCCCCTAAAGAAACCCTGCACCCCTTTAACCATCAACCCAACCCCTTTATCCCTCTCAGGCCCTGGTGACCATGGGTCTCCTTTTTCCTCTCTGGAGATCTGCCTGTCTTGGAACGTTTTTGTGTAAATGGGATCACAGAATATGGGGTGTTTGTGTGTGTGTATATGTGTGTATGGGTGTTAAGAACACAATGTGAGATCTGCCCACTTACCACATTTCTCAGTGCACAATCCAGTGGTGTTAACTATTGTCACGATACTGTACCGCGGATCTTTGAACTCCAACTGTATGTTCCCTCCCCCTCCCCCATCCCATCTGTTCTCTACTTTGATGAATTATTTTAATTTTTATTATTTTCTTTTTAAAAAATTTTTATTATTTTCTATTGAAGAGTATAGTTGACTTACAATGTTATCTTAGTTTCTGCTGCACGGCAGGGTGATTCAATTATACAGATCTATATACATAGTCTTTTCATATTTCCCAGTATGGTTTATTATAGGATATTAAATATAGTTCCCTATGCTATATGGTAGGACGTTGTTGTTTACCTGTTTTATATGTAGTCATTTGTACCTGCTAACCCCAAACTCCCAGTCTGTCCCTCCCCCACCCCGAGTTTGAGTATTTTGAATACCTCATGTAAGTGGAATCATGCAGAATTTGTCCTTTTTTGACTGGCTTATTTCACTTCACATCATGATTGTCACAAATGGAAGGATTTCTTTGTTAAGGCTGAATAATATTTTACTGTATGGCTTTACAACATTTTCTTTATCCACTCATCTGCTGCTGGACATTTGAGTTGTTTCCATATCTTGGCTACTGTGAATAAAGAAGTGATCTCCTGGGGGCCTGTCTTCTTTCACTTCGCATAGTATTTTCAAGATCCATCATGTTGTAGCATGTGTCAGTACATCATTTCTTTTCACTGTCAGATAACATTCCCCTGTATGGCCATACCACATTGTATTTATCCACGTATCAGCTGATGGATGGGCTTCTCAGGTGGTGCTAGTGGTAAAGAACCCACCTGCCAACGTAGGAGATGTAAGAGATACAAGTTCAATCCCTGGTAGGGAAGATGCCCTGGAGGAGGACATGGCAACCCACTCCAGTATTCTTGCCTGGAGAATCCCGTGGACAGAGGAGCTGGGCAGGCTACTGTCCATGAGGTTGCAAAGTGTCAGACACGGTTGAAGCAACTTAGCACACATGCATGCAGCTAGCTGATGGACATTTAGGCTGTTTCTACTTTTTGGTTATGAGTATTGTGTTCCACTTTTTTCCCTAGATTACAAACATTTTCTTAGTTCCCTGAGAAGTTCTGACCTTACCCTGAGCTTCATTCCACCTTTTTTTTTTTTTTTACTTTGTTGCATGCTTGCAGGATCTCAGTTCCCTGACCAAGGATTGAACCCAGGCCACAGCAATGAAAGCCCAGTAGCCCTAACCATTAGGCCACCAGGCAACGCCCTCAGTTTCCACTTTTGTAAAACGGGGGAAGAGTCCTAACGGCAGCGTTAATTTAGCACCTGTGGCATGCCAAGTCCCATGTTCCCGAGGATTCATTCAACAAACTTGCAGATTTGGAAACAGAGGCGCAGACGAAGGCAGGAGTGCCTCTAAAGTCACCACCCAGGGCTTCCCTGGTGGTCCAATGGTGAAGACTCTGCGCTTCCAACGCAGGGGGCATGAGTTGGGATATTCCTGGTTGGGATACTAAGATCCCATGTGCTGTGTGGTGCGGTCAAAAAATCAACAAAAAACGTCAAACCACCATCCAAAGAGTGCCAGGGGCAAGACCCCACCTACTCACCCCAGGCTCATGAGGAGACTGTGTGCGAGGCATCTGGCTCAGATCTTGACCCAGGGGAAGTGCTTGGAAAACCCTTAACTGATCAGATTGACACAGAGCTGATTTCTGGACTGTGGGACTAGGGCGGGGTGGTAACTGTTTATTGGGTACCTACCTATTCTGTGTCAGGTGCTCCCTGAATGTATCTAACATGCAGAGCACCTCGGGACTTCCCTGGTGGTCCAGTGGGTAAGACTCGCTGCTCCCAGTACAGGGGGCCCAGGTTCAATCCCTGTTCGGAGAACTAGATCCCACATGCCGCAACTGAGAGGTCCCATACCGCAACTAAGACCCGGTGCAGCCTAAATAAAGACATAAATAAAGAAATATTTTAAAAATGCAGTATCTCATGGCACCGTCCCCCTGGCCCTGGGAGAAGGGACTACTCCTCTCAGGCAGGAACCAGTCTCAGAGGTTAGCACAGTTAAGAGGCGGTGGCTGGGGTTTAAACCCCAATCAGATAGATTCCAAGAGGTCTCGGTCACTGTCTGCCAGCCCTGCTGTGCGCCAGGCCAAGCACGTGCCTAACTCACCGTACCCGTGCCTTGCTGCCTGGGCCTGGGCCAGCCTCCCCGTCAACCCCTGGGAGATGGATGGTGTTATTGTTCCTGGTGCACTGATGAGGTCCCCAAGGCTCTGATGGACACTCTGATCACACAGCCAGGAAGTGGCTGAGCAGCGCCTTCCTGGGAAGGGGAGAAAGGAGACGACGCTGGCTGGGGAGGGGACTATCCATATGGGCCACGGCCACGGTCCAGATGAGAGAAAGAGAGGCAGAGGGCCTCCAGGGGACCATGTCCTCCCCTCGGACTGGGCTTGGTTCAGCCGGAACCAGGATCATTTGGCTTCATCAAAACGTGAAACTGCAGCCAGGACCATAAAGGCTCCAGGGCAGGAAATTCTGGGAAAGGAGCGGGCCCGGGGTCAGCAGCCACCCCCGCCCTGGGGCTTCCCGCAGCCGCCCCTCCATCCCCACCAAGAGTGGGTGGGGACCCTCCTTTTCTGCCCAATGCCTTTCTGATGAGCTTCCCACCCAGGCCTGGTCATTTTGCTCTGAGCCCTGTGTCTAAGGCAGCCCCATCGAAGCACCCAGACAGTGTGAAAGAGGCCCCTGAGGTCTGGGGGAGAGAAAAATGGTGTCCAGTGCTGACCTAGCAAAGCCCTTGAGCCCCTCCCAAGCCCTCCATAATCAAGCAGGTGGTGAAGCTGGAGGAGGCAAGCCTGGTTGTCGCTGTCTGCAAGACGAGGAGGATGAAGGTGAGAACCTACCGAACTCCCACCCTGCCTAGGGGCCTCAGCTCCCAGGTTTTCTGTAACCTCCACCCCCTGTCGGAGTACCCGTCATCCTTGCCTTAACTGCTTTCTCTAATCCCTAGTCACCACTGAGTCCCCATGTCTCTTCCTGAGATGCCACCCCTCTCTGGCTATCTCTCTCTTCGAGACCTTGTTTCCTTCTGGAAGCCCCCTTCCAATCCTCAAGTCTCCATCTCTCACTCAGAGCCTCCCTACCACCTCTCTGATCCCCTGGAAGCTGAGTCCTGTCCCCATCTTGGTTCGCCTCTCTTTTTGTCACTGTAAATTCACTCATTCTATCCATTCATCCACTGAGTGCATCTTGTACACCCAACCTTGTACAGGGTGATACTGGGGACACTATAGTGACCTCAACAGCCTTGGCCCTGCCCTGCAGAACTGACAGTCCAGGGGGGAGACATGTTTG